AAGTTGAGGTTGCTGCGGTACTGAAAGTTTGCGAACGGAATCCTGGAGTTTGGCGTGTGCGTGTGTGCGGGTGAGGAGCACTGGGTGAGGGGGGAGAAGTAAATGCACCTTCCTTTAAAGTGCAAGAGCTAAACCAGCCAGGAGCTCCATTGTGAGGTCCGCCTGTGTGCCGCTGGGAATTCCAAAATACAAACCGTTGTCTAAAATACAGAAGCCAAGAAAAATAACCATTTATTAAAGGCTTTTCTGAAGCTTTAGGCTGCCAGCACATCCACTTCAAAAATAAAAAATCTCTTTAAAGTTTATTTGAGTTGTCCAAAACATTGTTCTGCAGCAGATGTTTGTTGTCTAAATTTCATTGCATCTAGCACAGATTAATTTCAGAGTGGAAACGTGTATTGAACTGTGCTGCTGCTCTCAAAACTCTTTTCTGTTCTTAAATTTAACGCTATTAGGATGTGCCTGGTGAATTATGGACGATTACTTTCCATGTGGAAAAGCTTTACAACTAAATAAAATATACAAAATTTGGCTTCGGATATACAGATACTGCCTTTCCCTTTGCTGTTTTTAAAATTGTCATTGGTGGCCAAGTGTAAGGCTGTGTGTGAAAGGAGAGGAAGAGCTGCGATGTGTGTGGTAGTGGTGAAGGCCATTCAGTCTCTTTGACCAAGTCTGTTTACAGACATTTGCAAGGCAGGAAAATACGATTCCAGCCGAATTTCAGTGAACATGTTGAACGAACACATAGGCCTTTGCAGGCAAAAGTAGGTAGTGGAAAGGGAAGTCCTTGTGGTTTATTCTCACTTTATTTTATTCTCTCACTCACTTTCACTTTATTCTCACCATCTTTCTCACCACTCTTCTGCATTTTTTCAGCATGGAAGTTTTGTAGGGGGAAGCAGATATGAGCAGTTCTCCATGTTGCCCTTGCAGTTCTGCAGCAGAGCTGCAATCCGTGCAGAGCATGGTGGACCGTTTACTACTTGTGCTTTATTCTCACTTGTTGCTTTGATTTCGGGATACCATGAAAATTGAGACAGCATAGCTCACTGTTTTGAAAATAGAAATTTCTTATTCTTCCAGCTATAAAGTACCCAGTGACTCATGAGATGGTAAAAGCCCTCAACTCCCCATGGGACTCTTACCAGAGTACTGCTGGGAGCAGAGAGTGGAGATGTACAGGGGATGGTTGCTGAAGGACTTTGCCATCCCCATTATCACAAGTTCTCTGCTGCCTCCTGGCAGTGAAAATTACATTCCCAGAGGAAAATTCCATGTTGACTCCAACTGTCTTACCCAGGGCATTATCTGTGGGGAGCAGGTGAGGGGTATGTCCCTGAGTTTCTGCCTGTACCACTGTGTGGTGCGGCTGGAGAGGGCAGTAGAGATGTGCCTTGCTAGGGGGCAGATGAAGGGGACATGGCTTACTACACAGCATTTCCTTTTCCATGGCTCATGTGTCACAGGGATCATACAGACCATGGTAAACCGTAAGGATATGAGCCTCAGTGGAGAGCTCCTGCTCCATCCTGGAAGGGCGCTTAATGCTAAGATCCCTGACCACATTAATGGCTGTGAAAAATCCAATGCATGGTGGTGGGCAGGAAGATTACCCAAGTGGGAATGTCATGGTGCTCGCTGCTGACCACAGCTGCTCCCTCCGTCCTTGGACAAGGGAGGACAAAAAATCAGCCAAATAGCCGAAGGAGGTAACTGAATTGTCTTCCAGTTGGCTGTGGTTCTTGACATCATACTACTGCCTTTATTTGAGTAATTTAGCAAATGCTGGTTTGGCCATCACATCCATGAGGAAGTACAGCCAGATTGCCCCTATGCTGCCAATAGGTTTACCTTTCAGGTGGTACCTGATGGTGGAGCAATAGGTATCTGCTGACTTGCTTTGTAGTGAATAAAAATGATTTCCAGCAGTGTCATCAAGAGCTCAAGGTATTGAGGTACCTAGCCAAGGCAGTGCTCCACACACAGCATGCCACAGATGGACTCTTCGGGTCCTTTTTGTGAGTATTCCAAGCTGAGGGCCATACTTCACAGCTACTGGCTAGCCCGCTGTGAGAATAAGATGTTTCGAGGAGTACAACATAGTGGCGTCAGGAAGCAGTAATGAGGATGTTCCCAGCCTGGCTGCTGCTGTCTTTATTTTTGTAGTGTACAACAAACTTTAATTTTTCTAACTGCTAAAAAATGAGTGTGCTTTCTTGAGTTACTGGCTACAAAGCAGGAGGAAAACAAAACAAAAATAAAAAGCATGTCTGAAACTTATTACCAGCAAGATAAGTTGCTGCCAGGAGAGAATAAATTTTAATTTATTACATTATCTTTCAAGTGGCTTATGCGTGATACTTATTCCCTGAGCATCCTGGCAAATAATAATGTTACAATCTCCACTGCCTTGCCACTAGCCTGTCAGAGGCAGAGATTTACTTCTGTGATACTAATTTTGCTCAGATAATTTTGAGAGGAGAAGTAATTGCAAACAGTGGAAGAGACCTTGTATGGGTTCTGCTGACTGAGTACGTAGTCTTTGCCTTCAGCCAGGGAAACTGGTATAGCACCATTATCTTTACTGGAGTCATGAGAATTTACAACTGCCGAGTTGTGGCTGATACAGACCTAAGCCAGTCATAGTTTTCACGAAAAGTGTTTGTCCTTTGGTAGACCAGTTATGATAACTCAGCTTGGGAAAGGCTTACAGGAACACTTATTTTGTTGTATTCGGTACTCTTAAATGATATGACTATGATTGATTATAGTTCCGACAGGCAGCCATCAGACAGTCTGGTGAGTATAGCTAGTTGAACTATCATTAGCAAATACTTTCCTAGTCGAACGTAATCGTTTATTTTACAACTAAAAGTACTTGCAATTGATATGAACACAGTGGCATTTTGTTGTAAGCTAATACAATGTAAGAGTGTGATAGTTTATGTGATAACAGTGTGCAGATTATAGCTGAATTATAATTAGATTGAACCTTAGCTGAGGTGAAGTTATTCTGTTGAAGAGCTTCACTGTTACCATGCTTCAGAAATGAGGTCCAAAACTCGAGGGCCCAGTTCTGCTCATGGGAAATTAATGAGGTGATTGCTGACACTGAGGACACAAAGCAACAGCTGCAGTTTTTTGGGTAATATGTCTTTTCCAGTGGGTCTGTTCAGCAAAATGGCTTGCACCTAAGAGCTAGAATGGGGAAATAATAATAATTACAATGATGATGAAAATTATAACAATGGGTAAATGGTAAATTATTTTCTCAGAAAATAATTATAAAACATCCTGCATGCACTAAAAAATTCAAGTCAATTCACCTGTAGGCTTTTGTCAGATTACTTATTTTCTGATGGAGATAACCCAGGAAAAGGGAGCATAAGAAAACACAAGGATGAGTGTGGGTTATGGTGGGACATGGTTTGCTCCTTCCTTCTTCAAGAAGGCACTTAGAAATTCATCTCTCACTTTCAAGTGCCCAAAACAGAGTGCTGGAACAGAACATGGTTTTGTGATCTTAAGAAACCTGTATATAGAATTATAGTATCTTAGAGAAGAGATTCAGAGCAGCCCTGCGGAGAAGGACTTGGGGGTGCTTGTCGATGAGAAAATCAACATGAGCCATCAGTGTGCGCTTGCAGCCCAGAAAGCCAACCATATCCTGGGCTGCATCAAAAGGAGCATGACCAGCAGGTCAAAGGAGGTGATCCTGCCCCTTTATTCTGCTCTCGTGAGACCTCACCTGGAGTACTGTGTGCAGTTCTGGGTGTCCTCAGCATAAAAAGGACATAGAACTGTTGGAACAAGTCCAGAGGAGGGCCACAAGAATGATCAGGGAACTGGAGCACCTCCCATATGAAGATAGGCTGAGAAAGTTGGGGCTGTTCAGCCTGGAGAAGAGAAGGCTGCGTGGAGACCTCATAGCAGCCTTCCAGTATCTGAAGGGGGCATATAGTGATGCTGGGGATGGACTCTTCATTAGGGACTGTAGTGGTAGGACAAGGGGTAATGGGTTAAAACTTAAACAGGGGAAGTTTAGATTGGATATAAGAAGGAAATTCTTTCCTGTGAGGGTGGTGAGGTACTGGAATAGGTTGCCCAAGGAGGTTGTGAATGCTCCATCCCTGGCAGTGTTCAAGGCCAGGTTGGACGAAGCCTTGGGTGATATGGTTTAGAGCGAGGTGTCCCTGCCCATGGCAGGGGGTTGGAACTTGATGATCTTGGGGTCCTTTCCAACCCTAACTATTCTATGATTCTATAATGGTGTGTGTTGGAAGGGACCTTAAGGATCACCTAGTTCCAAGCCCTGTGTTTGGGAAATGCTTGTGACCTGTAAGTAAATAAAACGTAAGGTCAGGAGCTCTAGCTCCTAAAAGGTTCCCTAAACTTTTGGGGCCAGTGGAAAGTGTTCTGCCATCTAGCACAACTTTTTATTTTCTAACCTTTCCCATAAAAAGAAAAATAAATAAATAAATCTTTACAGATTTGGCTCACATTGAACCAATTTTCACCTCATCCTGATCCTTATCCTGGTTTGTTTACCAGTCTGAAAAACTGGCTGTCCATTCATCCTTAGTACATACATTGGGGCATAAGCACTGATTCTCAGTGGAGTATGCAGCAACTAAACGAACATTTCTGGTAAAACAGTGAGTTCTTCTGACATCATCTGATACTTTTACAAAGCTGTGTAGATCTCTTCTGATGTTTATATATGGCAATGGAAAAAGACAACCAGGAGGATCTGCTGTGAAAATGCTACCTACCAAAATCTGTAGGAAAACACTTCAGTCAATCTAAGTCATAGCTTAAAGAAGAGCAGAAGTAAACTGAGAAGGACAATTCCAGTTGTTATAACTCTTCTTTTATTAAAAAATATCCGTAACGTTAAATGTATGTCTTGTAGAGGCATGCAAAGCAAAAAGAAAAACAAAACGTACAAGCAATACTTACAAAGATGGGACTTGCTGTGTTTATTTTAAAAGGGGCAGAAGAAATCTAACTAATTTGAATAGGAAGTAGGATTGATTTTATGATGTCTGGCCTTCAGAGGATCTCCTTAATCATTAATAGCATCATTTTGTACCATTAGCGGCAAGTAGTTATTTTAGGCATTGGTATCATGCAGATTGGCATCAAGACTTGACACCAACTTTCTCAGGGTCTTTGCTACCTTAAGTCTGCATGGGGAACAAGAATAAGCTTAGAAAGCAGTGAGTTTAACCTGGTGCTTTTGATAGCATCACATACAGTTAGGTCCTTTTGAGAAGGAGTGAGCTAGTTGCTGTGCATGCTGGGGCTTGCTGTAACTGTTTGCTAATCCTTCTCACCACTCCTCTGCATTTTTGCAGCCTGGAAATTTTGTAGGGGAAAACACCAATGAGCAGTTCTCCACATTGTCCTCACATTTCTGGAGCTGAGCTGCATCTGTGAAGAGCATGGCAGACAGCTTACCCACAGCTGTCTTGATAAGCATGCAGCAATGCTAGACCTTGCTGCCCCATCATAGCCAGCACCCATTTTGCCTCTTGAGTGTATGTTGCAGCTCGAGCACCCGCATGGGCCATGAGTGACATGGGAGGACAGTGAGATTTATGTTGCATCTTTTGATTTTATTTTCAGAGCCTGGTTTGGGAGCCAGTCTCCCAGATTAATATGCAAAGGTGGCTCTAGCTGGGGATCCACACCGCCTGCCCAGAGGAGTGCTTGGAGGAGCGTGGCTTGATCTCCCTCTTGTGGAAAGTTATCGAAACTGAGTTCTTGTGATACTAAAGAAGAGAAGTCCAGCATGGTCAAACAAATGATGGCAGCAGTTACCGAGCCAGCTGATGCTCTTGTCAGCCCTCAAGGAAATGAAGAGATGGACTCTCTGATTGTACTGCATTATAATTACACAGGAAAGCTTATTTTAAGGGAAAAGGCAACAGATAACATAGACCTGCCCACTGTTGCATTTCTGATCCTGTGTAGTTTCATAGTCCTGGAAAACTTGATGGTGTTGATTGCCATATGGAAAAACAATAAATTTCACAACCGCATGTACTTTTTTATAGGCAATCTAGCTCTCTGTGATCTTCTAGCTGGAGTTGTTTACAAAGTAAACATTCTTATGTCTGGGAAGAAAACTCTGAGCTTGTCCTCCACAATCTGGTTCATTAGGGAAGGCAGCATGTTTGTTGCCCTGGGAGCCTCTACTTTCAGCCTTCTAGCAATAGCTATTGAGCGCCATTTGACCATGATTAAAATGAGGCCTTACGACGCAAATAAGAAATACAGAGTGTTCCTTCTCATTGGTACCTGCTGGCTTATTTCAATTTCCTTGGGTGCCTTACCCATCCTCGGCTGGAACTGTATAAACAACTTACCAGACTGCTCAACAATTTTGCCTCTCTACTCCAAGAAGTACGTTGTGTTCTGCATTAGTATCTTCATAGCCATTTTGGTTGCCATCGTCATCCTTTATGCCCGTATTTACATCCTGGTAAAGTCCAGCAGTCGTAATGTCACTAACCACAGTAACTCGGAGCGGTCCATGGCACTCCTTAGGACTGTTGTGATCGTTGTCAGTGTTTTCATTGCCTGTTGGTCTCCGCTGTTCATCCTGTTCCTCATCGATGTGGCCTGCAAAGTCAGGGAGTGCTCTATCTTGTACAAAGCCAACTGGTTTATTGCTTTGGCGGTTATCAATTCTGCAATGAACCCCATCATCTACACTCTGGCCAGTAAGGAAATGCGTCGGGCTTTCTTTCGCCTTGTTTGTGGCTGCCTGGTGAAATCCAAGGCGTCCAGATCTTTGCCTGTTCCGCCCACGCCAGATCACAGTAGAAGTAAATCCAGCAGCAGCAATGCCCAGAAGCCAAAGGAGGATTTCCCACCAAAAAAAATTCCGTCATGTATCGCTGAGAAAAATGAATTTTCATTTCACAATGGAAACATATGTAAGTAAAGGACTCCTTGAGACAAGTATATTTCTGTGGGTTTTAGATTTAAACTACAAGTGTGGTTGTAGTGCACTTAAGTCACAGGGGAAAACACTAACCATTTATTTAACTTTGAGAACGTGTTTATCAATAATCATTTGCTTTGGGTGCGCATTCAGTAACACACCCAATGCAGAAAAACCCTTTCATTCTACCCAACAGCCAGGACAGAGTCCATGGACATATAATGATATACTGTGCATCATGATGCCATTGCATTTGTACAGCCTGATCTTGCAAGAGATCAACAAAACCTGTTAGAAATTTAAGCATTCACTAAACACTGATGACGATTGGAAAATGATTGCTGACTGGGAGAGAAGCTCATTACGTATGTTGGTGATTATAGTTCTTTATATGTATCTTGCTGTTATGTTAATGGCCTTATGTGTATGTGGCATAAATAGCTGTATATTTGTACAATTCCTTACTTAAAAAGTCATCGTTTGGTAAAAGTTTACACTATGCTAAACATTGTATTGCAGTATACAGTGTAGAGTGACGGATTATACAAATAGATGTGTTTCAATGGGGATATTTGAAATGAAGTAGTAGCTGTTAACTGACAGGAGCTTTTAACATGTCATATCACTGCAGTATTTTTAATTTTTTCACTGTTATTCAGACTTTTCATGCTTAGTGAAAGACAACATGACAGTTGTCACTGTGGCATTTCACAACTTATTTTAAACAAACAGTAGTAAATAACCACGGAGAGAGGCTATATACATTCACTATTTAAAGTAGTTAAAATGTGACTATACATATGTATCAAGTGTATGTACTGTTTCAATGCATATATTTTACTTTCTATGTACAATGTATTTATAAATGTATGGCAAACCTATGTAAACCTGTGTACATTGTGAATGCACTACCTGAGCTGAGATTCTGTAGTTCTGAAACAGAGACGTATCATTTCAGTAAACAGTGAACCACAACGGGTTCCTGTGGCGTTCCTTCTGTTCTCTCCAGGCACTACCACAGCATGGGAATGCATTAGAAATTCTCCTTGGAAAGGACTTCAGACAGTGGGACAAGATCCCGTTTTCAGGCAGTGGAACCCTGCGCTTCTACTGTCTCCAGGCACTTTTGCAGATACGAGAGTGAAGATGCGGTACAACAGGATCATGCTGAAGGGCGTATCTCCCTTTATATCTGACCCTGCCTTGGATATGGAATGAAAGCCTGTTTGGTTTGAAGACCTGGAGCCCCAGACTTGTTCTTTTGAGAGGCTGCTCCCGAGAAACCTGTATGAATGCAACTTTATGGTTCATCAGTGTCTTACCAGCCTCAGTACAGGATGGTGTTCAGGATCAAAGGGATTCCCTGAGACCTAAAGCCATTCATACTTCATAAACATCTTGTTTCAGGTCCCCATGGAAGTGGCCCATGATAGTTCCATCAATCATGCGTTATGGCTGGAGGCTTCGGTGGATGTTGATGGGGAATTCTGAGACTGGTTCCATTGTCTTTCAGTAGGAATGTAAGCATCTAAATTTATTAGGCTCTTTCAAGGATTTGTGTTTAATGTCTCAAACCACACCTTGCCTTATGCACAATAAGTAGTTGAGGCTTTTTAATACACAGCCTGCACAGCTTGGAAGAGCTCACCCTTGGATTTACTCCGGTCTTAATCATTTAAAGCAGCAGCATTAGTCTTTCCAAGTATGTACAATGTATAATATATGTAGCAAAAGCCTTTCATTTTAAAGAATGAAATTAAGTTTAGAGGTTTGCGTTGTGATTATCTTTTACAAGTTAACAGTTTGCTTGTAAATGTTTTATGCTGTTAGGTGTAAGAACAAAAGAAAACTATTTGAAATAACTGTGAAAAAGAATATTAAATATGATATAATTTCTACTAAAAATGTTGAAAAGTGGTGCACTTACTTAAGAAGAAAAAGCTAAGCTAAGCGTGGTATAACTGAACTGCAGATACAGGGCTGGGTCAGCATCTCTGTAGCTTTGTGAAAAAGAGCTGACATTTGCATTGCCATGGCTTGCTTAGTTTTTTAGATCTTATAGTGCTACCTGGCTGTATTTTCAGTGTCGAAGTTCTCCACTGAAGCTGTGTCTTTGAAAGCTGCAGCTAAAATATTTGTATACTTCTAAGTGTTAGTGCACGAGGTGGTGGCACATGGCAGCATTCCCTGCTATTGTAGAGCAGAAAGGCCTTAGCAGTGCAACGGTTTGAGAAAACATTGTGGCTGACCCCAAACCAACAAGGATGTTATGCAGTTCTCACTGCTTAGGTGAAAAAAAGAAGAACAACTTTAATAGTCAAAGTCCAAAAACATGCACATAAAAGTTAGTTTTAACATCCAGAGTCTAGCCTTAGCTATTGTCAGAGTTGATGCAAGGTACAAGTAATGCAAGCAGACTTCACTGTTGGAGGCCATGTGATTGCATGTCAGTGCAAAAATCTTTCACTCTGCTTTGATTTTCTTCTCTTATTTTGGAGCTGTGGGGATATTTTATTAGTTCACTACCCTGCTGTACTTGAAGCAGGCTCCTAAGAATCACAGGTTCACATGTAACAGTGATAGTATAACTTACTGAATATTTAGGACTAAAGAGACCGTTGTGGATATATGTCACAGTGGGATGTACCCACTTAAGACTGTTAGGTAAAGCACAGCTTCTGGGACATTTCTGAGCAAAATTTTTAAGTAGGACCAAGTCAAGGGCTTAACAGCAGTGGACCATAGCAATCAGGAAGATATCCTATCCTCGAAGCTGTGAAGGATGGAGAATAGCTCATTTCACCCTAAAATACTAGAAAATTCTTCAAAATACATTCTAGAATCCAAGCTTTTCATCATCTACAGTGATTTGAGCATGCAAGAAACTGAATTAGGTCTCCCTTTTGCAGTTGGTTTTATGCAGAGCAAAAGCTACAAAGGAGGTATTTTGTATTATTTCATGAATTGGAATATTTATTTATATTCTGGATTACAAAAGAAATGCAAATCAAAGCACTTAAGGAGAAAAAAAAAAGCTTTCACAAGAGTCTTTCCAAGAGTCTTTTATTGCCAGCAGTCTTGCAGAGCATTTTCAACTCATTAGGTACCATAAACATTTTGAAAACTTTTAATTAAATCTTAAACCTTTAAACCAAAGTTGTGTGGCAATTGTTTTTCAAAGAACTTTGAAGATGGCTTAGGCTTTCTGTGGAAAATGTGCACTTTCACACTGTTGTGCCTATGGGAATGCCATGCAGTCAAAGGTGGTAGGTTCTGTTTCCACTGTCCCTGAATCAGAGGGAGGCTTTGCCCTGCTTTACTGGGAGTGGACTCAGTCCCTGGGCTCACCTGCTCCGAGGGCTGTCTGCTCCAGTAGCACCGCTCACAGAGGCTCCCCTGGGAAGGCACATTTTACAAGGAGAGGCTGTATTTAGGGTGTCGCGAGATGTGCTGGCATCCACTCTGGGTAGTGCCACCAACACAACCAAGGTGGCACAGACCCTTGACTTAGAGGGAAGCTGTGAACTCCATGGCTGTCCTGTGCTGGGGGTATTGCCTTCTCGTGGCAGGCAGGCACAGCAGCAGTGACCAGGGGTTTCTGCTTGGCCACCATTAGCTGGGAGGCTTGCAGCAACCCTAAGGCCCATCCTTCCAGGAGCGGGGTGACAAGAAGAGGGGGAATGAGTGAGCGGCTGTATGGTTCTGAGTTACCAGCTGGACTTAAACCACAACAGGTCTCCCATGGAGTGGCATGGAGATGCCATGCAGAGGCATGCAGAGGTGTCCTGGCACCCATGCTGCCTTCAGACCTGCATTTATTCTTCCTGAGAGCAATATGACTTCTCAGGGCAACCCCAGGATTGACTTTTCAATCAGGCAAGAGGGAAGGGCTTTTACAAGGAGATTTGGTGGTGAAGGAAGGCAATTTTGGAGATATCAATCCAGCTAAGTGCCCTTCTGATGTAGAGCCTTTCTCGCCTCCACAATCCACTAAATACTTGATTTTGCATGTAGCTTGTCCTTGCATTCATCCTTCATGGAGTGAGCTACCCTTGGCTACCCTCGGCTACCCTCACCTGTTCAGTGTGCCAAGCACAAAACCTAACTTTTCAGGAGACAGTTTCATCTGGCCCACAAAGAGTGCCTGTACAAGCAATTACTTTCATCGTGAAAATGGTATCTGTTGAACTCATGGAGACTAGTGTTGCCTTTGCCAAGGTAAGTAGAGCTCCTTTGGTGTAATGTGTAATTGAGGTCAAACTCCTCATGTGCTGTTTGGTCCTCGAACAACTTTTATCCTGTTTCTACCAAGACAAGCAGTTCCTTGACTTATAAATATTCAATATCCAGGTTAATTTTGTAGAATTTAATTTATTCTGCTACAAAATGAGCATTCCTTCAGGTAAATAAAAAAACCCCAAAACACACAACCCCCCCCAAAAAACCAACAACAAACAAACCACACCAAAACAAAAAAAAAAATAGGCATAGGAGAAAAGACTCAAGCTCACTTTGCATGCATTTCAATCTGACAGTAGTGCTGATTATTTTATTACTTTGGTTAATCTTATACAAACTGAATAATGAGAAAACAGTTGTATAACACTTATATTCAAAATTCCGTTGCTCAAGGACTTCCTCAGCGGCAAAATTTGCCTCTATAGCCAGAATACCACAATCAGCAGACAGGCAAGAGCTTGAGAGTCACAAAAGTGGCTGGGAATATAAACAATCACAATATTTCCACATACATTATTTTTTTCTGCAATTCTCAGTTAAAAATGTTTCTAAAAGTAACAAATATTAATAAATAAAAAAAGTACAGTCAAACTCCCTTTCACAGCAAAATAGCCATTTTTTTTTTGTTCTGTTGTTGCTGGCCACACAATGCAAAGAAAAACATTTACCTCAAAAGGAGAAACCTGGCTTCTTTTGAGGTTTAAGTCTGCAGGACTTTACTGAGAAGCAATTACCACACTAATTCAGCCACAAAGGACACAAATATATACCAATTATAATCTTTACATTCTTCAGTTAATAAAATTTTGCTTGTTTGGCATGAGTAGATGCCCAGGTGTGTTCGGTGGGTTTTGCCTCAAGGAAAGGTAAAGGAGGACTGCTGGAAAAACTTGTCATTTGACCTGTATGTTATTTTACCTTCATGACAGTTGCATAAAATGTAGATCTGCATCTTAATCTCAAATCTGAGGCTACCTTCCTTTTCTGAGTCATCCATGCTGTCTCTTACGAAGTGGGGTAGCAGAATGAGTCACCCAGCTTTAGCTTTTTTTTTCCTTGCTTTGGTTTCCATGGCCTGTTCTGTTGTCAAAAAAAAGGTTTAAACACTGTTCATGTGGTACTTTTGCTAGAAATATGCAGCTCTAAAATCTCAGCCCCCTTACTGAGACAAAAAAAATGCCCCACTTTTTCTCAGTGGAAGCCATACAAGATGCTTATGTTGGAGTATGCAGAAAAACAGATCAGGTCCTATCAACATATGTGTCCCAAAAAGATGTGCAGTAGTCATTGCTTGGGTATTTTGCAGTTCCCTTTAGTTGCTTATGTGCCTATTGGCTCGTGTTTCCAGTTTTCACATTTCTTATCCCTGGGGCTTTCTCTACCAAGACAGCTTTCCACCCCCTATCCAAGCCTCTGGTTAACTGCAGGCAATTTGTCCATGTTATCTTTTCCACAGGCCTGCCCTCATCCCAGCTGCATCAAATGCAGATGTGAGCAAGGTCCACAGACACTGCGTGTGAGTTAGTAGAGTAAGTACAGCTGAGCACAAAGCTCTTACTGGGAATTTCCCCATCTCCTGACAGCTTTGAGCAAGCATAGATTTGTGGAGAGTGCAACCCTAGGTTCAAGCAAGAAGACCATGCAAATCAACCTATTTTTGACATAGACTAAAGTAAACCTGAATTTGGATTTTATGCAGACATACTTTGAAAATGTCTGAGAGATAAAAAGGGAAGTATGTCTGTTACTTCAGCTTAGCCTTTGTTTATGCAAATATGATTTACTTAATATAAATTCTTGGTTCTACCACTTCAGACAGACTTTGGATGCTAAGAACAAAGGCTTGAAAACAGGATTTGTAACCTTTTTTTAGAGCATTCACAAGTTCCAAATTTCCCCTTTAGAGCTGCAAATTTCCTCGAGGCTGCAAAACTGCAAGTTTTCAAATGGAGCATTTGCTACTTACAAATACCTGAATATGCATCAATTCTATTATGAATACATTGTAGCTGGCATCTGGCACTTCATGTGCCTGCAGCAATCACACCGTGGTATATGATTTTTTAAATTCTCCAAACCTTACTGTACAACATGATGCCTAGAGACCACGATGATGAGATGTGAGATATTATTCTACAGAGGATAAAAAGAATGAACCCAGGATATAGAAAATCTAGTGCTGGCAGGTGACATTTGCCACACTGTTAGTAAACATTTTCTTCTGGTGACAGTGTGAGTTTTGCACTCAAATCCTGGTCCCAAGACTATGTCCTTTGTTCAAGCTTTTACTGAACATGTGTGTCAGAGGTTCCTGGCAGAACAAGTATCACCTCCCATTGTGAACTCTCTAAGATGCGGGGGGAAGCTACTGTATAACCTTCTATCCTCACTGTGTATGCAAAGCCCTGGGCAGGGAGGCAGGCAGTAAGCCATGGAAATTCTATCTCCTCTTATAGTCTCCAACCGGGCATGGCCAATTTGAACATCCTTTTTTAGGGAAGGAAACCTGGGGAGTCCTCACTCTGAGCAAACACACACTGAAGTCAGAAGGTAATTCGGTTTTCAAATCACATTTTCTACCTTTGAGGTTTCTGTGCTTCTGAAGTAACTGAAAGTTTGAGAACACAACTGTACCTCAATATCCAGCCTACCACTGCCAGTCACGCTGGAAATTTTTATTATCCTAGTATTCATTCTAGACCTACAATAAAATTAATCAGAAGCATTTGGTTCACTCCTGAAAGTTCTTTGGAGGAATTGAATGTGTTTTCATTGCCCAGAATTCACATAGTTGCAACAAAGCTGGAATCAAAACTGATAATCAGATACTACTCAAAATCAGTGTAGTCAGTCTTGCAGGATATTCAGTTTCATTTCTGACTGCTCAGCTCTCACCTGGGAAAAATCAAAGGATACCATAATATTGTCTAAACACAATAGATTTCTATTGCCTCTAGTAAATTTGTTCATTCAAGTAAAATCCCCCTTCTTAAAGTCACAGTACTGAATTACCACCAGCAAGTGTCCAGCCTTTTGGATTGCATAAAAAAGAGTAAAAGCAAAAGGTGAGGGGACTCAGAACCAAAGATAAACATTAAAAGGCTCAAATTATTATGCTGTCAGCAGTCTGGTTTTCAGCCAACTGCACAGCATTTGAGCCCATCTCATAACTTCTCTTAAATTGCTGTCTCTTAAATGGTTTTTCATAAAAATGAGCCCTGCCTCTCTAGCTGTTGTTGAGCTGTAACAAAAACAGGTTTGGAACTGCTATCCAAATGTCTGTGCATTTTTTATGCCATTTTCATATAGGGAAAAGCCAAACCTACCAGAGTAACAGTGACATAGAAGAATGGCAGGATCCACAAAAGGAGAATTGATTGGTCCACATGCCCCTTCTTCCTTGGCAGCTTTGAGATCATTTGGTTCTCAGTGACTTAGAAAAGCCTCTGGATCATCACATCTAGCCAGACAGGATCTGCTGGACCATTGTGGCAGGAGAGGCATTGTCACAGGCGAAAGGCACTACCATTACCTAGGGCCAAAGTTCATCTGATTAAGCTACGTATAACATTTGCATCATCAATGCGCATGGTGAGCTGGGCAAATTGGCTGTGCTGACAGAGCAGCTTAAAATAGCCACATTTTCCTGGAGGCAGAGTTTGTGAAAGGTAGTCTGGGGAATTAAATATTTCTGTCAAGCTGTTTCACTTTGTGTCTCCTTGCCACCTGCTTTAATTTCCAAAACATGCAGCTAAGTGGCTGCTAAGTTATTAAAGATGGTAAAAAAATTTAGATTGTTATTTCTGTGTATATTTAGTGCCTTCATTCATACACCCCTATCTTGTCACATTCTTCCAGGCATACACTGACAGGGTATTTAGGAATCTAAAACTGACATAGGCAGCAGGTGGGATTTTTGAAGGCACCTAAGGGGGTTTGGCATCTGATTCTTACTGAAGTGATACACAACATTCAAAGTAAAAAAGAGGTCTTCTCCTATAGTTAGTGATATCACACTAAACACTTTCCAGGACACGGCTATAGAGAGATGGGAGCATGATATGACAAATATTATACATGACAGAAATGGTGGCAACTGATACACTTGAAGCTAGAATATGGTGAGGTATGGATGCTCTTAAATAAAGTAGTTTTGATGAGTACTGCTTTGGGTATAAGATCTTCTCATGTTCCCTTTCAATTTCCAACCTGGTAAAAGGACAACCCAAATGTAAGAATTCCACTAACCTCAGCACCATATTAATTTGGGTTGCAATGCAGCATTTAATTTCATTCCTTTGCTCTCAGGTCCCACCCAGATCTAGAAATAACAACTAATTAGTATTCACAATAAAATTAATCACAAGCATTTGGTTCACTAATGTCATAGTTTGGCTTCTGAATGTCTTGAATTAAAAAGTGTATTTTTATTCACTGCTCATATGATTTGTCTTAGGTACCTCAATCATTTTTGCTCTTGAGATCAAGCAAAACCAAACTTCCCAAGTTGCTACTTCACTATATTTCAAAACAGAAGGTATAGGCAAAATATATCAGAATTTTAATAAGAGGATCCTACCTGAATGACTCCTTCAGTCAGTTTGCTTGTAATCTGAGAAATTTTTAAACTGAGCAAATTCTGAAAACCAAATCTAATTTTAAGTAGATTTAAGTATTGACTACTTCAAGGAAGGCAGGTGCTTAACCTAGACTTACCCTGCTGAGTCACAGCCTTTATGAATCAGGTCTGAAGATCTGATTTGAGATACTGGTGCTAGAGACAACCTTGGAATACTGAAGGCTAAATCCTTACTCTGGCACAAACTTTGTCTTTATAGGAACTATATCTATTGAATTTGGCTTTTGATAAGCTTTGTAAATAGGAAAATAACTTCATGTAGTGTTTGCATTTGAAGAGTACAAATCTTTCTAAAAACCTTTCCCAGTACCAAAAGCCAAGGACATTTTTGCTAGAAATGCATCTTTAGTACATGTGTTTTTTCAACTTGATATTTACAGAAAAACAGTATATTTGCAATACCTATCACTTGTTGAAGGCCAAAGTGAAGGTTTTGGTAGGTAGATGCAAATGGCCACTGAGCCATGATAGTTTTCACTATTTATAAGAAGCAAAGATTTTTCAGTTATGTCTCCGAACAACCATGTACATCTTGTACTAAACCGATTAAACACAAGTTATTTGAACTTGCCTAATTGGTATGTAACACCTCATTGGAGACTGGTAGTCAAGGACACCTAGATCTTCACTATAAGCAGAGAACTATTTATAAATAGCTTTAGCACTCAAATTAATAAACTAAAGTTACTGAATATTGTTATATTATCATTAGAAAAATCAAATGCACACATTTTATACACAGAGAGATCACACAAAATCATTGTTAAAGCGAGATACAAATGTTTTGAGTAGCATCATATAAGAATTCAAACTTGACATCAGAAAGAGAAAATGATCAGTGACACTGAATAATGCTTTTAAAAACCATTTTATGCTAAATTTCTGAGTTGGAATACTAATTGCTGAATTCAGACTCCTTCCATGGCTAACCAGCATAATCCACTTGTGATCCCCATAGTTGTGCTTCTTAGGTAAAAGCAGAAATAAGATTCCCAATACTCCTTAAGAAAATGAGACTGATGAATTCCATTTTTACCTGAACAATTACAACTGGAATTTTTCTTCTGGTAGAAACACATGACGCAGAAGATGGTTCTATACCATCAACAGACTGACTTAAAAAATATAAATATATATTGTATTTATATACATAATGTGTATATATACACTATCAATATTCACATCAGGGAATCCGAACAATTTCATTTAAATTACTTTTTAATAAAGCCTTCTGCTGTGACTTCATGTCTACATAAAGCATTGAGAATTTTCAAGTGTACCATGTGAAATGGGGCTTCTTAAACCTAAAGAAAACATATTGATGAAACATATGTGAATATCCATAATTTTTTTAATTACATGGGTTTTTTTTCAGATCTGCAATTTCTACCTGTTATAGCTTACAAATTACAAAACCTAAAATAGTTATCTGGAGTCAGTACTTCCTCTCAGCAGGCTGCTGCAGGCAGAGCTCACTCCCAGAAGAAACTATTGGCAAATTATTCTCGAGATGGTGATTGATGAGATGACTTATGCTGTCAAAGACACGATCTTTTGTGCGAACCTTAAAAAAAAAAGGATGCAAGAAGATAAATTAAAGAGCAAAATACTTTTTCTCCTAACTTCACACTAAAATTCTCTAAGATGTCACAATTTACCATGTTTTACAGACTGATCCCTTTCCTACCAAAATCAATAGAAATTTGGCATTTCTGGAGTTTTTGTCTCTTACTCCCTCTATTTTCTCCAAACAGATATTTTGCATGCTACCTATGGGCCAGTCTACTTCTATTACTCTTTTTGAATAGATCTACTTGAAAACTTTCTGCACAACATTTTGTTTTGCTATAAGCTGGGGTTTTAGATCAGATTTTCCTCTTCAAGAGACCACCTGCTCCCTTTAAGTGTTTTCACCTTTTTCATTAGAAAAAGTTGTCCTTCCAGAGAAGCCACAACCCAGCTTCCCCATGTGCCTCAGCATCTTTTTGCTTTCCTTCCTCTTCAAGTGCTAGAAAATTCCTTTCCCTGAAAGGGATCCAGCCACCACATGTGCTTGGCTCAGGTTTGCCCCATGCTACATGGTACACCACTATGCCTTTAAAAGCAAAACACTCCAAGGCAGGGGACATAATTTTTCTAGCCCGTTTACCAGCCTTCTTCACCACCATCCTGCTAAGCAAATTATTATACCCATGACAAGAGGAAATTCATTTTGCAAGGTAAAACAGTCAAAGTTATCAGGACTGACCAAAAACTAATCTATATTACAAAAAACAATCTTTAATTATTTAACCACATCTTCACAAAACATTTCCTACCTTTGTTTAAAACTAGCTAGTCATACAGCTTCCATTTGCCGATCAGAAGTCCTCTCTAACAAATGTCATGCTGCAGTAAAGCTTTGTATTGAGATGGCTCTACACTGCCTCAAGCAAAAGCCTGTAAGCACTGCTCTGAAGTGAGGCATGTCATCTATTTTCCTTGAACCTTTCTCAGAAGCAGAGAACAACTTTTGTTAAAAATTTCCAAAGCCAGCTGATGCTGTGGTAGGCACCTCTCTTGAATATTTCACTCTTCATCATTAAATTCTAGCAAAACTGCCAGAAACTTAGCAGAGCATGTCACAGGATAAAAATACAAACAACAAACTTTGATGGCAAATGATGCTATCTGCTTGGTCTGCAGGTAGCTGAGTCACTGAAGAAAACCAACAGGCTCTCCCAGTTCTGCATTGAAACATCACTTTCTGTAATTATTCAAAGCTTTCAAAATGAAAAGTTGTCTTTAAAACAGCAGTAACTTTCCTTATCTGTATGCAGAATAACACATTTTCAGAGCATTTAACTCAGCTGAGATTTTTCTCACAACAAGTGATATGCTCTGCCAGTCGCCAGAGTTCAAGCCCTAATTCCAAATCCAGCAAAAATCCTGCAGTCCTCCATATCAAGCTTCCTTTACTTGAACTAGAGTTTGAGGGTTTTTCGAGGTTTTTGTCAGCTGGATGAGAGCAGAAGAAACTGGACAGTTAGCTCTGCTCTGAAAACACACCCTGAAGAGCTGTAACATGTAGCTGGGTAATTTGTGTGTGAAATGAATTCTCAGGTAGCCTTTGTGTGATTATGAATAATCATGCTGAGGACACACAGACGAAATGTAAGCTGCTGACACACTGCCGTGGCTGGCCACACACTGGCATTTTATTGATGACTCTCCACTCTGACAAGTTGCAAATAGGGCTGCTCAGGAGCTGCGTCAGGATCCCACAAATCATATAGACAGCACAGCTAACATAAACACAGCTGTGGAAAAGCTGTGCCTCCTGAGCAAGGAAATTCAGAGCCATTTGGGCTGTAAGGGCACATCACAAGTAGCCTGAGGGAGAGGATTAGATACAGAGAACAAGCAGGTACCTACACAAGGACGTCAGCAAATTACTGCTGCTCTTAGAAGCAGTCCTCTGTCCTTTGCAGAAGGAAAACACCCCAGGAGCCACCACAGTACTTCATGCAGTTAGCAGAGCAGAAGAGCTCCTGGTAGGACAGCATCCCTGCACTTGCTATGGCACAAAGCAGTGTTTTCCCTGGAGGAGCCTGTAACAGCTATTCGTATGTTTATGTTGAAGGGAGAACTAGGGGGCCCTGCTGCAGGGTCACCAAACTGCTGGGAAAAGTTTAGCAAAGGAGGCGAAGGGCCAGTTCCCCAGGCTGATGTTCCAGTCAAGCCCAGGACTAGGTAGCTGACACCTAAACAGCGCAAAACCATTCTTTGACTGGCCTCATGTGGCAAAAGTAATTACAGCAAATACCACTGGCATTTCTCACCACAGCATTACAGACTCTGGAGGACCAGCATAATTCTGCCACAGGTTTCTCATCTGAAACAGATGCCAACAGACTAACTCCTCTATGGGAGTTTCTCATTTACTTTGGCGCTTGTCATCTAAAGTTGCCCTTTAACAGAGGAAAAGGAGTTGCCCACTTTCGCTACCAGGAACCAAGAATTATCTCAGATGAGACTAAACCTCCCCAGAACAAGGACCGGGCAGACAGAAAACTGGAGCTCCCTTGCCCTCTCCATCCTGCTCCTGGAAGGTCCCTTTATTGGCCAAGGGTGTTCCTGTGCAGCAAAGAGCTGAAGCAGGTTTACCCCAGCTCCCCAGTACAGTTTCCTGTACATAAACCCTGGGCTTATGTTGGCATGCAGGCCAAACTTGCACAGCCAACAGGAGCTTCCCAGCAGGAAGGCTAAAGAAGTGGCTAAGATGCACTTTTGACTAAGACAGTACTGCAATGGCCTAAGCTTGACCTTGTTAGGGAATCAGGTCCCTAAGGTTCCCTGCAATGTGCAAAAATCATGCAGTGGGTCTTCTGCTAGGCATGAGGGAAAGAATGAGAGATGTGATGGCATACTAGAGATACGAGGCTGTAGTATGATCAGTTCTTAAAAAAGCTGTAAGTAAGATTAAATACATTTAGGGAAAATGTGTTGTCAGAAACCTCCTGTATTACTGAGGAGTCAGTGCTTACAGTTCCTTCTGGGTCCACCAAAAGAAGATGCTTGGCTTGTCCATTGTGCAGGCCTGTCAGCACATAGGAGCCAGGATTCGTGGTACTCTTCCTCACAAGGAAGTCTCCACATTTCTTTAATAGCTGTTCTGCTTCTTTCCTGCTCATCTCTCCTTGATACCATGGCTCTGCACTCAGGTCTTCAGCTACAGTCCAGTCAGCTTGTCTGGATAAAAGAGGACTGGTGCATCCTGTTGAGGTGGATTTCCTCGAAGCAGCTGCAGATGTTTGGTTCTTGAGGGCATCTTCAAATGGTTCTGGTTATGGAAACAGAAACAAGGACAAGATCATTCATAGATAAATCATATTAAAAATGGTGATATTCCAGATATTCTTAACTAGATTTGTGTTATAGCCACATCCCTTTATTTTTATGAAAAAACTGAGGGAAGGTATAGTGCTAGCCCTACTGATCAAAGGATTTTATTGAGATTGAGGAGTGTAATATGTTAAAAATGTATGTTATGCACAGAAAGATGCTGATAAAAATCAGAGAAAACCTTGGCAGGAGGTTTTGAAAGTTACTGCTTTTATTTTGGTAATGGCTATTGTCAACAGTTGCAATTATATGCCCTGGTACCAGGCAGAGCTCTTTTTCTGCCTTACCAGGTACATCAGACAGTTTCATTTCAAATAAATTGCATAATATGGTTACCCAATTTCATTATATCTGGTCTCTCTTTAAATAACATATTAATTTAAAAATAATCCATTACTGAGTCTCCAGCCCACGGGTATGTCTAGAACGAATCAGCCAATCTTACCACTCAGCCTACCCCTAGCCACCACCTACAAAGAGGACTTTGCAACTTAGACACAGGCTAATACCTTTAACGTGATTTACCTAGCTGAAATCAGCCTTGGGGAAACATCCTTTAAACCTCAGCTATATCCTGAACTCAGTACTACTTTCTGTAGAGTGGAATAGAAAGATGTGTCATTACAGATCCGAACAGTCTTACAGAAACAGTAAATAGGTCAGTCGGTGCTTCATTATATGCTGTACTTACTTCCTGGAAGCTCCTTCCCCTTGCTAGACCTTCATCTGTTCAACTACTGCATATTAAAAAGAGATGTTATTCTTTTCCCACTAGTCTTAGGCAAGGACATCTGCAGAACAGTATGGTGGAGCAATACACCAGCTCTAAATAGTCTGCTCAGATGCAAGGTGTATGTAGCCATGTTTGCATGGGGCCACAGAGAGGTTAATTTAGCTCAGAGGAACTGGGTAAATACTGTGCTGTCACAGCTTATTGATACTTCAGCTGATTCTTACAAACAACTTATATATGTCTTCACTTCATCGCACTCTGCACTGAGCCAAATGTGCTTATCTTGACAAAATACTAACTTAAGGCTAGGTGATACATTTTCTAATACTACTTTTCCTCAATGATCCAATGGTTAGTAAAGGTTAATGAAGATTGGAAGACAAGAAAACAATTTTCCCTGTTCTTAGGAAAAGGATGTGTACAAAATGGACGCAAGCATGTGCATGTTTTAAGGGCATAGTCCCTTAGAAATCAAAGTTAACATTTTTTATTTCAGACAGCAGATTTCTCTCATTTCAGATCTATATTTACAAATACATACTCTCTCAAGTTTCTTTTCTCACCCTTCCTTTCAATCCAAAATCTCCCCAGGCTGTGGAAATAGAGGCATATCTCAGCAAAACCATGCCAGGAAGACAGTTTTATGTACACTGAGACAACGGAAACGTAGATATGTTATTTTACAAATAACATATAAGCACCAACTGCTTTGTCTCACTGCCTCTTAATTATGTGAACTGAATTAAAAAAAATCATGTGTCAGCAACTGATTGGAACTAGGAAGAGTAGAAAAACAAATAAAAGTTTCTGTGTGTTGTATTGCTTTCCCAGTATTTCCTGTTAAGTGTCACCTCAAGGCTGAAAACAATGTGTACTGGTAGCACCAATATCAAATTATGAATGAAGCTTAAAAGCAGTTTTACAGCTATGGCTATGATTCTAATTTTGGAAAAGATGACTTCAAATTCAGAACAGATAGGTAGATCTGTATAGATCTATATAGTATGCCTATCCAGAGCAAGGGATTACTGCCTCTTAATTTCCCTCTCAAAGGAAGGGGGAAACTTGCACAAAGCTTTTGTAGTATGCATTGACTTCCTAGTAACATATTCACAGGACAAACTGATGCTAATTCTCCAGGCATGCACTCTTTCACTTTCTTGCATGACAAGCCTCCTGCCTGTGATGCTAAAGACAGCATAGACTGAAACTCAATTCATGGGTCCAGATGGGACGCACCTGCGGGTGCTGAGGGAACTGGCGGAGGTCATTGCTAGACCGCTCTCCATCATCTTTACCAAGTCTTGGGAAACGGGAGAGGTGCCTGAGGACTGGAGGAAAGCAAATGTCACTCCCGTCTTCAAAAAGGGCAAGAAGGAGGACCCGGGTAACTATAGACCGGTCAGCCTCACCTCCATTCCTGGGAAAGTGATGGAACACCTTATCCTTGGTGCCATCTTAAGGCATATCAAGGATAAGAGGGTTATGAGGGGCAGTCAACATGGCTTCACCAAGGGGAAGTCATGCTTGACCAATCTCATAGCCTTTTATGAGGAAATAACACAGTGGATGGATGATGGCAGAGCGGTGGATGTGGTCTACCTTGACTTCAGCAAAGCGTTTGACACAGTCTCCCACAGCATCCTCGCAGCTAAATTGAGGAAGTGTGGTCTGGATGATCTGGTAGTGAGGTGGACTGTGAACTGGCTGAAGGAGAGAAGCCAGAGAGTTGTAGTCTATGGGGCAGAGTCTAGTTGGAGGCCTGTATTTAGTGGAGTGCCTCAAGGGTCAGTACTGGGACCAGTATTATTTAATATATTCATCAATGATTTAGATGAGGGAATTGAGTGTACTATCAGCAAGTTTGCTGATGACACTAAGCTGGGAGAAGTGGCTGACGCCAGAAGGCTGTTCTGCCATTCAGTGAGACCTGGACAGGCTGGAGAGTTGGGCGGGGAATAACTTGATGAAATATAACAAGGGAAAGTGTAGAGTCCTGCATCTGGGAAGGAATAACCCCAGGTTCCAGTATAGGTTGGGGAATGACCTGTTAGAGAGCAGTGTAGGGGAGAGGGACCTGGGGGTCCTAGTGGACGACAGGGTGACCATGAGCCGACACTGTGCCCTTGTGGCCAAGAAGGCCAATGGCATCCTGGGGTGTATTAGAAGGGGGTGGTTAGTAGGTCGAGAGAGGTCCTCCTTCCCCTCTACTCTGCCCTGGTGAGACCTCATCTGGAATATTGTGTCCAGTTCTGGGCCCCTCAGTTCAAGAAGGACAGGGACCTGCCGGAGAGAGTCTAGCGCAGGGCAACTAAGATGATTAAGGGAGTGGAGCATCTCCCTTATAGGGAAAGACTGAGGGAGCTGGGTCTCTACAGTTTGGAGAAGAGGAGACTGAGGGGTGACCTTATTAGTGTATATAAATATATAAAGGGAGAGTGTCACGAGGATGGAGCCAGGCTCTTGTCAGTGGCAAACAATGATAGGACAAGGGGCAGTGGGTACAAACTGGAACACAAGAGGTTCCACTTAAACTTGAGAAGAAACTTTTTCTCAGTGAGGGTGACAGAACACTGGAAGAGGCTGCCCAGGGAGGTTGTGGAGTCTCCTTCTCTGGAGACATTCAAAACCCGCCTGGACACGTTCCTGTGTAACCTTATCTAGGTGTTCCTGCTCCGGCAGGGGGATTGGACTAGATGATCTTTTGAGGTCCCTTCCAATCTCTAACATACTGTGATACTGTGATAGTGTGATAATTCAAACTAGCTTAAAATTTTCAGCCACCCTTATTTTCCCTCATTTCTATCTGAAACCACCTTGAGTTCCAGAATTCCCCATAATTCTACGAGGAATACTAAAATTTGGATAAATTTATGATTATTTTTATACAGAACTAATGTATAAGTATATTGGGTCACTTGTTAGAAAAGGGAGTGAACAGGAAGGTAACTTACTCATGTCAAACAGATCCTTTCCTGGGCTGCTTGCTTTGGTATCATCTGCTGTTCCACTGAAGGTACTTTCAGCATCTGCCTGAAGTGCCAGTAGAGCTTCTACATCTATATGCTGGGTGTTTACGTACGTTGGCATTTCTGCTGTTGAGGTTACTTGTGATTTCTCTTCCAGTATATCCAGAGATCCTATAAAATTCAAGATTCTTTGTCTTCTTTTTTGTATTTGACAGAACAGTGTTGTTACAATGACTAACATCATACCCCATTACCACAGGTTTAAATCTTCCTGGAGAAATGTACAGTCAATAAATGTAGTATCTAGCAGAAAGAAATACTGATGAATGAATATAGAACTATAACCATTTTTAATGTGTATATTCCACTGTATCCAGTTTCAATGAGGGTTTGGGGACAGGTATTATTCAGGAGAAAGAAAACTTTTGCAAATACAGACTGTCAGTTTCAAAAATGATACTCGGTTGGGGAGTCATGAGAGGAAGAAATGGAATAAAATCCTCAAATCTGTCCAGACTAACAGCAGATAACATATTCTGGCATTTGAAAAGTGTCCCCAAAAACACAGTAAAGCTGTTACACAAAGGTGGATAGGGTGAAATTTTGTTTGTATATTTTGATGTGATTTGCTTAAAATTCATAGGCAACAACAAAAAGATCATTAAGCATTATTTGTTATTCATGGAGCAGAGATCATGCGCAAGCACATGCATTGCTCTATATTTAAAAACCTGCTAACATTATGCTCTTCTTTTGGAAATTCCATCTTGCATACCATAGTGGGTCAGATTTTCAGAACAGACCATGCAGCCTGTCTTTAAATACTCTGGAGTTTTAAGACATGGCAAGGTAGAGAACTGAAGATTTGGGGCAACCCTATTTGTGAACATCTGTGCAAAAGATAAGATTTTATGGAGGTGTGCATTTAATAATTTATCCAGAAGTAATTACCAAATGCTTTTCTCTGCCATCAACGTTAAAATTTTGAAAAAAAAAAAGGATCTATCATAAAGTGTAGCTAATTGACTTAAGACTTTGAGGCATCAGACTTTCACATGCTTTGCCCATCTAAGACCTCCTGCAGTATTACAGTGAAAACTAGTAAAACTCACCTTGCTTAAGGGGCACATGATGCCAGCCTTCACCGAATTTGTCTCCTAAGTGACGATTCTGGTAATAGGTTTGCTGTCCTCCCAGTCCTGCTGCAGACTAGAATGGACACACGTGCAAAGAAATTTTCAATTGCCTTTAAAATGCTCAGATCAATTATGAAGGGCTCTAACAATTTCCTTGGCATGTATTCTGTGTACTCCCAGTCTTCATTTCCAACTCATCACGGTGTCAGAATATATATAGCAAAAATGCATTTGTGTAGGAATAAGATATTATGGTGACCTTTGTGTAAACTTCCCTGCTCCTTGCTTTTATTAACCCCTGCAATCCCAAATGATGCATTATCTCCTCCAGTACATTTGTCTTCACACAACAATCCCTGACAACTATGCCCTGGAAAAGCGTTCCACAGAAACACACCTGGGACCAGAAGATGCCCCCAGCACTCTCCAAGCATGAGCTGAAAAACTCAGATCAGTACCAGGGGATGCACTCTGGTACTGAAGGGAGGATGTTGCCTACAGACAAGGCACTTCTGGATTTAAGCAGAAGTGTGCTGCATCTGAAAACTCCTCTTGGAGTTGGCTACATTGATACCACAGTCAAACTTTCAACAGCTACAGTAGAGATTGCTGTCAAAAGCAAAATCTAGAATCTAGAGACCCCTGTCAAAAGCAAGATCTGTTGGCAGAAATAACCAAGCTGACCTCAGTGAAACGTGAGGTGGAAACCGACTGATTACTGATCACTGCTGAGTTATTAATATAATGAACCGTTAGTAATGATTGTCCTAGATTGTTTAAATTATTCTGCATCAAATCTTTCCCAGTTAGTGCGCATTATTTGGTACTCTCTGAAGCATAGAGATGTAGTCACCCTCAATGGATTTCTCTTCCTTGAACCTGTGTAATCTTTTAACAGCATGAGGAAATCATCTCCTTTTGTTTGTTCTGAACCTGCCTAATTTGTAGCTGACTGTTCCAAAGGAAGGTAGCCACACATGAAGGACTATGAACTATAAATGGTCCAAATGTAACCATCTTAAAATATACATTTTTTTTTAAATTGGGATCCATCAGCAGGAGGGCAGAGATGCAACTACACTGACCTGAGCTGTATCTGCAGCAGTGGGAAGTCTTGCTTTGAGCCTGGCATCAATGAAGCCGCCAGGGGGGGGCATTTTATTTGGGATGTTGTTGTAATAGGCATGTTGTTCTGTTGGCTCATTATCTTCCTCCATCCATGGCTCATCAAAACTCTGCATCCTGTAAGAAAGTGTTTTATTTTGCCCCTTGCTTGCAAGTCACTTACAGCTTGATGCTTGCAGCATATTAAGACTGCCTGCCAGGGGATCACTACTGCATATTATTTTGACATGTCAGCTACCATTACAAATCAGGAAGCCATGATGGATCATGCAGCAGACCATCTCTGCTTAGACAAACTCTAAAGCCCCTTTACAATGGATTAAATTCTTCATACTGAGTAAAGGATGGTTTTACTTAGCTTTAAAGACAATTATAAACTACATTAACAAACACTTTGATTTAACCTTACAGTAGTATTTGTAATATTATTACTTGATTGATTGAATACTCTCTAAAACTTTAATTATGGCTGCTCTATCACCAATATAAATCTGGAAGAACTTCAGAAAGTTAAGAGGTAGGATTTGTGTTTTCAGTCTACATTTAACAGTCATTTACACAAGTAAACTAAAAGAGTAAAGAATGCTTGCAGAACAGGATAGTAGCATTTTATATTCACTATATACCCATTTTACTCTGATATAAGAGATCACACAGGGTACCAGCTCACTGAAATTTGTACTAACGTTAGCAAGCATATAATAATCCATATCAGAACCACAGCTCACCAAAGAAAAGAGAATGCTATATCCCAACCTTTCAAGCATGTGCAAGCAGACAGATTTTGTATCCTCCAAAGAACAACACGGTCATGTCCTCTGTACAACACATCACATTCCTAAAAACTTCATCCCAGTTAATATCAGAAAGACTGAGGCATCACTAGTAATTTTGGAAGCCCAGCAACTCTAGCTTACGTCATCTAAATTGATAGAGCTGCTATGACAGTAACAATGAGGAAATGCCACGAATAACATCCATTCTTGGCCATCCAACTCTGCCTACTAACTACAACAGAAAATATATGATCATTTCAATAAGTTTACTATGAAACCCATATTTAGCCCATTCCCTTAAAATAACTGTGCTCCTTACATATTCATTACGCAAATGCTGCTTTGCTAATTCAGCAGAAATCTCTTTTTTAAGTTTAAATCCTGTCTGTCTCCAGCAACTGCATCCACAGCACATTTTATTAAATAAATACAAAGCTAAAGAAGATCCTTTAGCAGTCTTCTGCAATTGCACTCACCTATCATGGAAAGTAGGTATCTTAGAAGGGCATCGCAAGTATTGCTTAAATCGAAGCTCGAACGCTTGCCCTATGGTGCTGATGACATCCTGGGCCAGGCCATCAGAGCATTCCAGTATATGACAAGCTAAATGAAAAAGATTTGACACATGTGCATGCAAATAATTGTTTATGTTATGGTGGGTTGCACTGGCCTATGACAAAACACCTACATGTCAGGTATAGTTGCCCTATTCATGGTGTGCAGATTTCAATAAAACTCAGTGATGGCACAGTGGATTTCAGGCAGTGGGGTCTTTCTGAAGGTTACGTAAAATTGCTCTGTTGTGCAACTGCAATATCACAAATCAGTTCTATAATTTTTTCACTTGATATTACCTAAATGCAATAGATTATATAAGAATTCTAACAAAGATTTAAGTTGAAATTATAAAAATATTAGTAGATAGTAACAACAAAAAAAGCTTTCCTTGCTTTCCTCGATTTTATTACCATTTCAGTTTTATGTCTAATCATGCCAAGTTTGCAAGCTCTTCACTTCCTCTGAGCTTCCAGAATTTCCCAAATTACAAGCTGAGGGAGGAAAAACAACTAGGATACTTCCTAGTATTTTATTTGATTCCAGTAATACAGAGGTTGGTGCCTTTTCCTGTTTGTATGGAGATGCTCCCAGCAAACTGGAGAATCAGTGGGGAGCACAGAGCCAGGACCTTGATTAACTCCAGCACTCCCCCCTGTGCCACCTCTCTGAACCCAGTGTGACAGATGAAGTAAGGAGGGAGGCTGGCAACATAAGCTCTCTTCCTATAGGAGATGGAGAAACCTTTATCAACTGCCTGAGCAGCCAAATCCAACCCAGTTTTAAATCAGAGAGTGGTTTGGAAGTATTATCTTATGTGACAACATGAACAGGCAAACTCATAAAGATTTCACCTAACATTGCAGGAATGTTGCTGGGTCTTAAAAGCTGGAAGCTAACAGTCTAAATGATATTCAGAAAAGCACAGACAAGTTCATTTTCCATATTCAGTGCTGGAAAAGCATATGGTCTACTGGCTACAGTTTGAACTAAATTTGAAACTCAAGTTCTTTTCCAAGTCCTGCCACAGTACAGTTGGACCTTTTTTAGAGTTACTAATTTGTATCACCCCTAACTACTTTAATAACCTGAATATAAATTCTTCAGCTAAAAAATGCATTTTAGTATACACCTTGTGTCCAGCTCAGTGGAATCAGGTGCTTTGGTTGACAGTGTCCTACAAATAAGGGTTGGTCCTGACATTTGAGTGACATGATTTTAGTTGAAACAATACAGGGAGACTAAGGAAGTTTAGCAATGACTTCTCAGCTTGCTGGACAGACTTTTGAAGAGGCCAGAATAAAGGGCCAAGAAACCTGCAATTATGCCAGTACAGAATGACCAGGGCACATATGCTGTCCCTCAGCAGCACCTCTCACAGCCTGAGATGGCACCAGTCACAGTGCTGCCCTGCTACAGGGCCAGTGATACTTTCTTCTCACCTTATAACACTTGCTGTGCTGAGCAGCATGCTGAGGCAATGCCCGATTCAAGGCAGTAATGCCCTTAGCAGCATGCTGGAAGTGGATTCAGCAGTCAAAAACAGAACCTCTGTGAATTCAAAGACAGAGGCAGACATCCCTGGCTAGCAGTAGTACATTTGCTGTTTACTCCTTCTGCTCGTGGCAGTGAACAAGCAGCCCCCGAATAAAGTGCAGCCTTACCTACAAGAACGTGGACCAAAAGTAGTTAAGCCCGCCAAAGCTACAATTTCTGCATTCTATAACTAGAGTGTGGATTTAAAGAGACCATATTGCTCATTGCTAAACCTCTCAGGAGCTGAAATGAAGCATGGGTCATTAGGTAGCTTTGGTGGGTGACATAATGAGTAACCTGTTTCCTTGGATACATGAATGGACTTTCAGCAGGTAAGAGATGTGCTTCTTTTAAAAGCATGAGAAAGTTTGGCTCACACAGAGATGATTTCTTGTGAATGTTACAGCAGAAGACAGACAGTCTCTAGCTTACTCGATCCAGAATATAAAGCATGAAGAGAGCTTCACACTTGGGAAAAATGAGTCTAATATGCCAGTGAGAGCATCAGTTCTAGTGTTTGTAACAGCAGCAGTAACATTTCTCACTAGATACAGAAGTAAATTTGGACTCATTTCTAAACTATCTGCAGATAACACAAAGACTGGCAGGCTGACCAGTGGTAGTGAAAGAGGGCAATCTAGATCCCTTGGTACAATAGACCTTTTAAAACAATGTGTTTTAATACTGGTCACATGTAAAGTCACCAATCTGCAAACCACTGATGTACACACACGTAAACGTAATGCAGAAGGCTTAAAGATTGCAGCATGAAAGAATTTCATGTGAGATAACAGTGATTCACTGCAGCAAAAAGGACTTATGAGAAACCAGCTAATGACGAGGATGACAAAACCAAGTAAGAGTAGGAAGGTGAAGCCTCTGTTATAGATTGCAGGCATTAATACTAGATTACTCCAAATAATAACAGGCATTGTTTCCCTTTTTCAAACAGTGCAGAAAAATGAAAGAAGGAGGAACAGAAATTATCTGAAGGATGGAGGGTATGCACTGCAGCTGGAGATCGACAGAGTTCATTCTGCCAGACTTTTCCTAAGGAAAACTGAGAAATGGCTTGAACTAAATACCCTACAGGAAGACAACAGCAGGTGTTTAGATGATTCCTCAATCTAGGATAGACTAGCTCAACAAGGAGCAGTGACAGGAAGCTAAGGCTAAACACATCCAACTTAGATATAAGGAACATAGTCTATGAAACAGTTTATATAAAAAATCCATTTACATAGGAACAGAAGACAGAGTGCAGGGATCCTCCAAACCCTGGAGTACACACATCTGCTCTGTGATACTGACCCGCTGTATTGCCACTGATACTTTTCAGAGCAACGGAATGAGTCTCCAGTTTAGCAGAAAGGTACTGCTAAAGCAGGTGGGGTGGGAAGGTCTGCACCATACAGCTTGCAATTTGATGCCAGAGTGTTTTCTAATTGGGGGCACATGTTGGAGCATCACCCTACCTCCCACTCACTGTGTTTTCTAGGTGTTTCACTGACATTCAGCATAGTAGTATATTTAGTGCAGGTATTATTTATGAGCTAACTCTCTCAAGTCTGGACATCTCTGCACACTGACAGGTTGTTAAGGTATCTAAAATCATTAAAGGTGGCAAAATACAGATGCTGCAGAATTAGTTGTGACTGTGGTAAGGTAGCAGGTCAGGGTCTGCAGAGTTCACATTTTGGATTGAAAGTGTCTGAATTCTGCAGAAATCCTTTTGGAAGTGCCTGAGTCCTTTTTTGGAGCTAGTCTTTCTTTTCTCTATGAATCTATGAATAATAAGTAGGTTCTCAGGTACAAAATACACTTTGTATCTAACATTAAGACCTAGTCATGCTTTCTGCATTACAAGCAGGAATATTTTCTGTACCTACTATTTCTGAATGTAATTTGCACTTTTCATAATTTACTTTTATTTTCAAGAATCTGAACTGGGTCTTTGAAGACAATCAACGAGAGAGGCTTGCTGTCCCTGACTGCTCTCTCACAGAGCAACCCCATGTTAAATAAAACTTTACTGAGAAAAAGGATTACAGCCTCCAGCAAGATGGCTTGAAAGCTCACTACCTGGTAAAGAATCTGATTCTGCCAGGAAGAATTAGACATGTATCAAGAAGACCTAACAGATTCAGCTGCCTCATCAGGAGACTTAATCAGAGGACTGCTTAGTTCCTGCATAGTGACTGGGTGTAGGTGAGAGTTAACTGTTGCCTAGAAGCTCACACAGTCAAGGCAAGCATTTAATTTAAGAGATGAAGAGAATCAAAGTGATATTTGGAGCTGAACTATAGGCAAAACCTGTAGGCTCCAGGTCTGAGAACTGACTTGTGCATGGCTGCTCCTTTTTGATGCATAATCTTTCCATTACTCTGTCAAAGACAATTGTTTTATTGGTCTGCATTTAAAATTAAATCAACTGAATTATACCATGAATAATTCATATTTCTCAAAGGAAAAAAGGTGCCAAATAGATATTTCTAACTTACCTCTCCGATTAACAGGATCCTTAGCTACATATGCAACATAGTCAGTTGTATCCTGTCAAAAAATTAAGACAGCTACAATTAATGCAAAAAATCTTTGCACTGATCATAGCAAAAGATCACAGTCCAGAGTGTGCATATTCCTGTGGGTAGAGCCTCAAATGACATGTTTTGCTCTGCAGCTGTATACTACTTAAATCCCACAAAAAATCTTATGGGTTTGATACTAATCCCACCACTTTGTTTTCTCCAGAATGTGATATATTCCAGCAGAATTTATAAGTACCTTCCAAAGCATTGGAAAATAAATTTAAAAAAATGATAGGATTTAGATCAGGCCTCTTTTAGAACGGAGTAGAATCACAAGTCCTCATCTTCAAATTACTTAGAGATTCTGGCTCAGAACACGAATAATCAACTGGTTCTGAGGCAGAAAGAGTGGGAGTAACAGGCCTGCTCCTCAGAAACACTAAGCAATGCCATTTATTCATGTGTGACAAGCAGGTGTGTTTACTGACTACAATGCCATATGGCACAGGGGTGCTCAGTCGCAGCTTGGTTGTGACAGGAAGTATTCCAGGACACCCTTCCCCAGCCCATGCGCTGCTTCAGCCATGCCCATTGCCACATCCCAAGTGGATTTTCTGGCAAGACCAAGCCAACATCTTCTTTAGGGATATTTTGCTAGCTGTCCTGCCACCCTCACGTTCGTGTGCACAGGAAATGCAGACTTTCACCATTGTGCAGATGAAACAGAAAGGCCAGTGCTTCCAGGAAACGTGAGGTCTGCTAGCACCTCTGGAAAATGACATATTCTTGATGTGATCAGGAAGTCCTGCTTAGATCAGATATTTTCTGACATGCCTGGCTAGTCAGGTATAGATAAACCCAACAGGTATGCACAAGATACATAGCAGCTAGCTGCATAAATATACCGAAAGCAATTCCAGGTAACTGATCCAAGACCATTGACAACTATGTGAAGATCTAATGTTGTAACAAACTTCAATCTTCAGTTGAAAGATAGACCTCTTCAGCTTAACTTTCTCCAGTGCAAGCACACACAACCACAATACCATCCAAAACAATTCACTGTGCTGTGTCTATACAATTCTCTTTCAAAGGAGATGGCAAGGGAAATGATGAAGAACATTCATGTTTATGGTGACAGATGTGTAGCCGTATCATTTAATGTGCTATTGGAAGACACTCAGACACAGCAGTAATGAGCTTGGTCTGTAAAAAAAGTGGAGCATAGAAGAGTAGCCCTAGCATTTTGTCCAGCAATTCCTTAAGCACCCAGTGACACAGTGTCTGGGCAATGACTTGTGTGGAAGTAATGATGCACATCAACAAGTAAGGGGATGAGAAAAGTGGTTATGTCTGGAGTAGCAAATAAAACAGAGCCAAGGCAAAGGCCTGAGAGTTGTTCCACAGTTGTCCATAAAGTTTAACTGTTGCTACTCTCCCTTGCTTAGCTGTGCTGGTTTCCCATGCCCTGCTCTGAAACATTCTGAAGGACCAGCTTATGCTGGGCATCAATTTCTAGAGACCATTGGGAGGGAAGACAGTGAATGTGTGCATGCAAATTTCACCATGCTATTTCATTTCAGGCCAGAAAACAGGCCTGGGATCATTTTATTTACTAGTACAGATACAGCTGATGGACATATTCATGACTGAGTAAATCACAGATCTATCTTATAGCTAGTGTGAGTGTGAGAGACTGGAACCACCTACTCTAATTTCATGTAAAGATTCAAGCTGACTATGACAAACCATTAACCACCTAAAGTGGGCACACTTCATGGCAGCTAAATTAGAAGATTCCCATCAAAAGGCTAAACAGGGCTGGGCTGATGCAACAAAGTGGTCCCTGACATTCAAGGACTGAAGACAGGTATGAATGAGCTATTATTTTCACTCAAAGAAACTGTCTTGCAGTGTCAAAATTCAAAGTCAGGGCTGAAACTGAAGAACTAGTGCCTTCAGGGTCCTCTGAGAGACCTGCTTTATTAGACCTTTTGAGAGCTTTTTGAGACCTCTTGGAATTTTCAGAAGGAAATACAGATGTCTTGTCTGGCTGTCTGGAAACAGCCACATGAAATAACTATGGATGAAATTGTTTACTGCATCATAACAAAGGGCAGAAGAGAGCTAAAGCAGATCCAGAACACAACCTTGGAAGTCAAAATTATCCCATAGTAATGTGTAAGAAGGATTTGGTGGAAAGATTTTTAAGCTCTCATGTACTGACACAGACAGAAGCTGTCTGACTCACTGCAAACAGGAATATTGCAAAAATATATATGATACTCAGGTTGTTCTCCAAGTCTGCAGGACACTTCTCCAGTGAATGTATTTTGAATGATTAAGGTAATTAACGCTTACGGAGTGGGAGGAAAGTTGCAAAGCTAATTGTTGGTGCAAATGTCTGGCAGATATCCAGAACAGAAAAGTAGTGAGGGGGAGAAGTGGGGACAGTCTCTCTTGTAAATAAACTAAACTTCAAAATATGGAAGCCTTTCCTGAAGAAAGATGGGCACAGATCTTGTTTCCTAGTTCAGTATGGCCTTTCTCCATCCATTTTAAATCTCTGAGGAGAGATTTAAATCTGAGGAGATGAGCTTATGAGCTGGATCCCAGCTGTGTTTGGGAGATATGGTTTGGTGGTGGCAGCCCTCCACCAAGTGGAAATTGTTAAGGGCTGATAAATGCTATGTCTGGATGACACTCAGCTGGGTTAATAAATGTCTGAACTAAATCCCATCCTTGTATCTTGTCTTCTTCTGTGTGCACACAGGACAAAGGAACCACCTCCTTTATGAAACAGCTTTTGATTTAAAGTTGTGCCAGATACCAGCCTACTGAGACAAGTTTGTAGAGTGTCATCAGGTACTCATACCTAGCCTTCTCCACCCCCAGAAAGAGATCACCATGCACTGGTCTGATCGGGAGCGCAACTTTCAGTTTCACTCTCCTGCAGACTCCCTTATACCATGTAATTTTATATCTCTGGTAGTTCCCTGACTCGGTAGGATGATTTTTATCTCTCTCAAACATTTGGGAGAGCTTGTTTACTCCAGTTCCAATCTCTGCTGCTGCTCCTCTCCTCTTTCCTGGTAAATCTATCGGTGGGCAGTGTGCAATGGTGTTTCCAGGACTTAGCATTTGGGATGGCAGATGGGGAATGAAGAATCTTCTTATGGAGGCAGGGAACTGTGCTAATCACTCCTCTGCCCACTTCAGAAATTGTTCATTTACAGCATTCATTGCAATCTGTTGTGTTTCAAAGCTGCTTTTGATGCATTTTGTGTTCCCCAAATTGTTGTGATATCATGTCCTTTTCCCTTCTGGAACTGAACTGAGCTCATCAGAGCTACGCTGAGGCTCAAGTTTGCCCTTAAGTTTTCTGAGGATATTGAAATGAAAAGAGAAAGTGAAGAAGATCTTCAACTTAACAGAGTCAAACTGAGAGAATTAACTCACAAAGTGGGCTAGAAATTGGCTGTAGTACATGACGGATAAATGACAGAAAATCATATGATGGAGGAAAAGGCAGACTCAACTCATACTCAATTAAACTAGGTTTGAAAGCTTTCAAACCTCTAAGGTATGAGGTGATCAATGTCCCTGTTTTATAATTCTCCCTGGTGACAAATACCTTTTAAGCACATTTAATATGCTTTTGGATGGACTGCTTATAAAAACAGGGAAGCACAATAATTAGGTGTCTGCATTTTAAACTAAAAGAATCAAACTTGTAGGTGTATCTGAAAGCTTCGCAGAACTAGAAAGAAAGAACTGGGATTTTCCTGGAAGCCTGTCTTCAAGCTGCATGAGTGTAGCAAATATACCTGAAGGCAGGATTTATCACACTCTTCTCAATGCACACTTAGAGACATGAAAAAAAAAATTAAATGCATGCATTGCTATAAACTTAACTGCAGCACACTCTATTACTGTAAAAAGTACAAAATAAAAACAAGGACAGAAATTCACATAATAGCCATATGATGATACTATATTAATCTGAAAAACAAAGCCCTACTTACCAGTTACTATACGAATGCTCACAACCCTTTGAAACTTTTTGTTTCAGTCATTCAAAGAGAAGGATCTATGACTGCTTGTCAGTCATTTCCCTTGAAAAGAGTTTGATGGCAACAATCAAGAAGAATTTATGAAACAAGAAACAGGACTTATTGTGGTTAGAATTTTCTTTCAGTAAACTATGCAATAAATTTTGCCACACAGTTCTTATAAAGCAATACCTACGTGTGGGAAAGCTTCAAAGAAATGCTTACCGGATCACCTCCAGATGCAAAGGAGATAGATTGCATATGGTGATTTGCTATGATCTGTATGGATCAGAAAGAATAAGTGTGAATCAGTAGGTTTTTTTACAGTTTACCCTCTTGATTTCTTTTTTGGTTTGCATAGGGGTGAAAATCCAAAACCAAGGTCAAAATTCTCTGTGTTTCACCTACAAGGAGTGCAAAGAGTAGCATGATCATAATATAAACAAACTTAAAGATGACTGTATCTATTCTGGTGTTCTTTAAAACATAGCAGGACATGGCAAAATTGCTAAGTGTGCACAGAACTCCAGTAAATCATACAGCTCTGTCATACAGTGTCTTTGGAAAAATTTTAATCTGCTAAAGCTCGCTTTCTTTATTACAGATAGTGATGAATGGATCAAAGGGTCCTATTCATCAGAACACTTTTCTGCTGATGCAACTCCGGTAAAATCAATGAAAACGTGCACCATCTACAGCACCTAAGGATTCAAAAAACTGCTTCTGATACATACTGTGTCATTTTACATTGCAAATACCAACATGTTTCCAATATGCAAACAGAACATTGACTGTAGCTGCAATGTAGCATTGTAGACAAAATCTCAGGCATACTCCAGAGCATTTGAAATTCAATTCGCTTATGTGCAATTTGAGCTAGTATGATATTTCCCTGGGAAAAGACAACCTGTCATGAACCTCTAATACAAAGAGAACAGTTCTGCTCCACTGATATTCTGAGATTTAACTTATGAAATCTTTTAATAATGAAATCATGTAACAATCAAGAAAGAAAAGGTCATTGGAAAGAAAATTTCACTTGATCACTTGAGTTACAGAAACTATACCAAGGAATTCATCTGGTATAGGACAATGCCCTTATTTAGTGCCTCAAAGCATGTAATTTGGATCTTAATTGCTCTCTTTGGAGAGGGTACCGCATAATTTAGAAAACTGTTTTGGCAAAAAATGAGGCTAAAAAGATATTTTCTGGGCTGTTTCCCCCATCCTCCATCTGAAAGACCTGAACTAGCAACCGTCTTCCTTGGAAAGAAAAAAACTTGACATGACTTTCTCTGGATCTTGCTGCTTCACTAAGTCAGTGAGAGTTGACAACTATTTATAGTGCTTATATCATATAAAGAATGCTTCATTTTCAATACTCCTGCTTGTCAAACAGGAGCCTCCCAAGATGTGGTTAATGTTTAAGTGTTCATTGGTGAACCATTGTTGCCTTACTCATCAGTGAGGATTCCCTTTTCTTTTTTCCAGTAAAGAAGCACTCCTAACAATGGAGATAACTAGTGAAGATTTGTTGTACATCTGTCATTGTCACTGTCTTAAATTGTGCAAATAACCTGATCTTTTAGTTCAGCATCATAAACAACAAAAATTATTTCAGATTCCCTCAAAACTTATTTTTCCGAATTTCAAGAAAACTGAAAAGTTCTTGAAACCATCAGTACAAGTCAAACACTTTTTTCTTTTTAATTCCTCAGCTAAATGTTTCAGATTAGTTTGAGATAGGGATATTCCCTCCCCCACACCAAAATGTTGACACAGCAAATTATGAATGCCTTGCATAACTCAAAACAAAAGATTCAGTAATGTGTGCACATAGTTTAGAAACATTTCCATCTACCCAAATCTACATTTTAAACAAATAAACAAACAAACAAAAAATTTCCTCTCATCTCTGCTTAACATGTTGTCAGAACTGCTGTGCACTGGTACGTGCAATTGCTTTCCAGCTACCTCAAGGGCTAACAACAAATGCCTTGTCTTTTCTTTCCTTGTGGCTCCTCTGGGAAAAAGAGGCTTCTACAGAAGTTCTCAGCCATGCTCCTGGGAGGGGCTGCTGGGCCACACTTATTTTCAAATCAAATGCTTGGCACAAACAAGAAGCAAGGGACACCACAGCCATGCTGGGTATCTCTGAGAAACCAGACATTTCCCAGGCTGGCAGCATCCAGACCGAGTTGACCTCAACAGGAATGATGTGAGAGAAAGATAAACAGTTTTGTCAACTCAGTGAAAAGGGAAAGTATCTGAGGGAGGATTCTTCCCTGCGATAAGTCAGTTTAATTCCATTTCAACCCTGACGTCAGCCAAAGACAAGGCTGCTTCAGGGTTTGGCACTTTTTAAATAGATCTAATTAACATCAAGTTCCTATTCTTCTGACTGGGGGCAACTGTCCTCATGAAATGCACTGCTGTGTATATTCCACAATAAGGCTCCAAACTACTGCAACCAGCCATTAACACTGCTCCCACAGTCTCAGTACTCAGTACAGAAGATTATGATGATTTCTAAATAAGGATAAGAATGAAGATAAATCAATGGCAACATAATAATAAACATAATTAAAAAAGGAAAGCTTTTTAACAGACAATGTATGAATTCTTTCTGATTCTTTAACCTGAGGCTCTGAAGGACTGCAGGATGGTATTTTTTTCTTCCTCTCTCGCTGTATCTGGGCAGAAAGTTGTGTGCCCTAACGCAGTATGTGGCTCACAGCAAATAGCACTGCAGTGACTACGCATGTCTGTCTGCTTTCTCTCTATAGATATACCCTGAGCAAGGATTTTTCTCATCTCATACATCATTCACAATCCACTGCAGTGATTCCCCGAAGTCTGTCTGTACCTCCAGCACAATGAAGAAGAAAAAGAAATGGGCTGCTTGAAAAAGGATGCCTTGTCTCTCTAAAAGACTGGCATTTCACTGCTGCAAACCCCCTCAGGCTGTATTTTTAGCAGCGCCTCAGGAATAGATTGCCTGTTAAGGCTCTAAATGTAAAGAACAGAACAATACTGGGGATGCACATTCAGTCCTTTAGTCACTTACTGCAAATGCATCCCTTTTGCAATTGTAGCCAAGAACTTCTAAGACCAGAAAATGCCGTTTCATGTTGTAGGTCTTCTAAGAGTAAAACCGAACTACCCAAAACATGGCAAGAAAATAATTCATCAAAGCTGTGTTGAATATGAGAACAAACTATGACTCCAGACATTTTATTGACATCATTGAGGAATAATAACTTCGACCAATTGAGTATTTTGGCAGAGAGCAAATAATTGTTCATCAAAAGCCTTACAAATTAACAGTTACACTCACCTGTTTTGTGTCAGGAGTCATTAGGTTTAAGCTGGTGGTGGAGATATTCAGCATTATGCTCATTCCTGCAAACTGAAGATTGCTCTTTCCCAAGATGCTAGAAAGAACTTTGCTTGCTGACTGTGAAGGGTGAAAAAAAGCACATTTTTGTACTCTGCTTGTTTGGGATGACCTTCATTGTATGCAGGGTTAGCTGTAATCGTAAAGGTTTCTAAAAAGTTGCTGACTTTTCAAAGCTCATTTCATTGCACCAGCTGTTTTCCTCTGGAGCTATTTTTTTCATAATAATAATAATAATAATAATAATAATAATAATAATAATAGCAGCAGCTAAGCAGGCATTCATCCACTCTTGACCTAGCAAAACAGGGGTTTGTGACATAGCAAAGTCTCACCTTCACCAAGGGACCAATTGAGTAGACAATGATGAATGCCTTGAGTCAGTACCTTAAAATAGTAGGTTCTTATTCTATAAAAAATACTTCAACTCCTGAAAAGGAATCTGTTGTTTGCTTTGCTCTAGTCCCTTCCCACATGGAAAGGGCAACTTCAGTTGTACTGAAGAAATGCTGCTGTATTTGTATTTGTCCCAAGCTGCCTGCAAGCTTGGAAAGATTTGTCCCCAGCAAGATGGACACACTTGTTCTTCTTCACTCCTTAAAGCTTACATTTATTCAACTTTAGCTTCTTTTCCTTCTGTTTAAGTGGTTAAAAATATGCTACCTACATACTGCTTCCATGTAACATTTGTGCTGCACTATTTTAACTTTGTCATGTTACAGTGCTAGTACCTCATTAACTTCTCTTTAAAGCAAGCCGTTTTAAATATTCTTGTTTCTCTTCTTTCCTTAAACCTTCATGATTCCCAGCTCATGTCTAAGGATCATCTGCCCAGTATGTGGGTAAAGTGTGAAAACTTGGCCTCAAGAAGTACATCTCAACCATATTCATAAGCCACTAGCGGCAAACCCATGATGAAAGTAAAGACTGGCAAGGGATACCAGTCTCTACCATTCATGTGAAATTCTGTGGCTGGGCAATTTTTCTTCTCATTCACTACACTTCAAAACCACTATTTTTTTTTTCCAATAACTCTTAAGCAACATTTCTTCTAAAGCCAGTAATACAGTGAGGTGTCTCACCAGGCACGTGGGACTCCGTTTAACTTACTTTTGCAATGATATTTTATGTCATTTTGTTTTCCAAGAAAAATGATATTTTCCTCTTTACCACCAGGTTTAAAAAACAAAAGCCAGCCAACCTAGAAACACTAATGAAGTAAATTTGGTGATGGGAAAACCACAACCTTAATTTCTGAGGCAATTCAATTTGTTAATTAATTTTAAATGTCACCAGTAGAGCTATACTGCAAGAACAGATTTAATCACTTTCAAAACTACGCACATTTTGGCCTCTGCAAGAGCTTTCGGCACCTATTTCCACAATTTATTCATGCATTTTATGAAAAGGCATCCCTTTTGTTTGTTTTAAGCCTTCCACCTTCAATCTACAAGAGAAAGAAAAGGGGGGAAGGAGAGGGTATCTACAGTAGGAACTTAAAGGCAAGCCACAATCTTTTTCCTACATGTCCTCATACTTCTGGATGCCTATAAAAGCAGATCCTGATCAAAAGGGCAAGAGGCAACATACAGTGGGTGAAAACAACCAATATTTTAAATGATTAATGAACTGGAATTCTCAAAACTGCTTTAAAGTCACCTGCCTGCTGTGCCTGGTCTCCTCTGTGTTGAACTAAGAAAATACAGTCAACTGCACTGCAAGAAAAGAAAAATACCTTTCGTTTCTTGAAAGCTCCTTTGGCACCAGGCATGGCTTCACAAACACGACTGATTGCTTCCCTGAAGAGACAGAAAAAAAGCTTTATGGCAAATGAATGTGTGGGTTTCTTCATTATACTTGAAATGAACTGGGAGAGAATAGCTTCAGACCATATTTCTGTTTACAAGTGAGGACGGTTTAGCAGGTCAGTTAGCTCTCTTCTTAAGGCTAAAACAGCTGCCACTCAAATTTAGAATACCTCAGTGTGAAGGAGGAGACAGTAAATAGTCAGTGTAAGGAAGAGTGTGAAGAGTATCTTGAGAGCTACAAAGGATGGTGTTTTCTCACACTATTACAAAGACTTTTTCTCATTGCAAATTAGAATATCCATCTAATTACCTCCATCCAGGTCTCATTTTTGTACCTTATTAATCCATGAAGCTTATCTGCTCATAAGACCTGTCTTTAGTCAACATTGCTTTAAAAGTTTAGGGTATTTTTTAATCTTTCTTGTAATGTAAGGGGTAGTAACTATTATTTTTGCCACTACTATACTATGCACTTTTCTATTCAGAGCCAAACCACCTGGCTTGGGTTAATATAAGAACCCAAAAATGCTCATGGTTGTTGTATACAATACACACAATGTACAGAATTTTAGTTGACATTTATTCAATACTGAGTAATTAATTTGTGGCCCTATTTGTATTTTGTGAGCAAAATTAATGCCACTAAGATTTTGCTTCAGTTTTCTAATATTGCTTCATTCTTCCCGTCAAACTTGGGAAGAAATGCATGTTGAAAATTAATTTAAATTCATGCCTTCTCACAGGAGAGTAACTGTATACTACAAAAGCTCTTGAAATCATACTGCTACAAACAAATCTTATAGAAATTTTCAGTATTTAACAACTTATTATCTGAACAGTCAGCCTGGGCAGTATTTAGAATTCGCTTCCATGCATGCAGAGACCTTCCTGTGACTGTTAGCTACAAAGATGTAACAGACCTCTCCTGTAGATACCATAAGACAGAACAGTTGCACAGAGATGAGTAAAGGTAACTCCAAACCTTGTTTAACTGTTTTAAATACGGATTGAGACTAACAGCATATCATACTTAGACCTGAAAATACAGAAGTAACATTTATTTTATGAAAAAAAAAAAAAAAATACAGAATGGGGGACAATGAACTACAGAATGGGGGACAATGAACTACAGGCTAAATAACAATCAAAATAATCAAAACCTTGAAACATCACCTTGATAAAAACATAAATGATTTTAAATTTTTGCCATGTGCAGGATGATATTTCAGATAGGCATTAGGTGATTACACAAGACCAACAAGTGAGTCAGGACAGAAATGTCATATACATATCAGCATTCAACATAAAATGGCTTAGCAAATGTCACAGATTTATCTGGTTGCAATCAGTAATCACTATATAGTTATGCTTTTGGTTCTTTTATTTAGGGCCCAATCCAAAGCTCGAATCACCTGGAAGAATGGCATGAATATATTATTTTTGCTGGTGGGTGGCTGTAGGTGTGGGACACGCCTTGCAGCAGGTTTAAAGTCCTGTCATTCTGAAGAAGCATGAGATTTATAGCAAAAGAACAGTCAAAAAAGCTCTCAGGCACACAGTCCTTTCTTCAGGACAAGAGAAGAGCTTATTTGTTCCTCTTTTCCTCTGCTTGCCTTTTTTCTTTTATTTTTCTTTTCCCAAATACATCTGCTCGTCTAACAAATGGTCTTTCACTACAAACCCTGCCTTGCATATGTCCTCATACCATCACAGCTACAACAGCAGTCCATTGTAAAATTCAGGGCTTGTATTTAGTTTCCACATTTACCACAATGCTTTTTTGACTCAAAAGCAGTGTGTTAGTTAAACTAGCTACAAAGCAAGTAAAAATCAGTAGGTTTAAAAGTGCAGCACTAATGCATGTTACAAATACAGCACAGCCAGCATCAACATAGAGTGATCATCATGATATTAAAACATAAGTTACTCCTGAAAATGTCATCACGAAATATTCTTCTTCTTCAACAAAAATGCTTTTCTCTGACTCAGGAAAAGCAAACAGACATCATATTATACAGACGCATCCTCTCATCCTTGCTACTGAGCTAAAACTTGTGGTTTGCCATCTCCTTCTTGTACCAAGCCAAATCCTTTGGAGGCAATGGGGTGGGAAGTCTACGCCTGTGGCAGTCCTCAGCCCGTTGCTGTCTTTCCGACCTATGCCTCTTGCTTCACCAGGTTTTTGTGAGCTTTCCAGGCATTCTGGCCTAAAGCTGCTGACACAGAGGCGTCATCAGCACGCCTCTGTGCCTTCACCCTCTTTGTTTCCTCCAATGGTCACATTAGCAGACTGAGACCCCTTTTTGCCTCTCACAAAAAGAATTTGTATTTCAGAGGTATGAACTGTGCTTGAGGGATAAATTCATCTGCAACTTCCTTTCTCTTCTGATTTTCCTCCACCATCTTCTGTGTTTAGCAGCAACATGAATCAGGTAGGAAAGAAAGGGAATTTTCAGGCCACAGGAGCTGAAAAAACATTCACAAACTTGCTTTTCTGGGCCAGGACTTGGATTTGTAGTGGTTTTGTCACTAACTCTTCTGCCTCTCAGATCCTGATAAACAGACATAAAGTGTGTCACTCAATAGACTCATCTGACTCAAGGACCTTGTTGATCAAAGCTGCCACTTGAGAGTCAGAGAGGAAATGCTCCAGCTGAAAAGGCTGAAGCCCAGAGCTGAGGTTTTTTAAGGCAACCTTGGTTACTGTTTGTACATCCTGACTTGGGAGTGTGGCAAAAGCAGTGAACAGCTGAAAAGCCAGCCAGGATGTATATACTCTCACTCAGTAACAAAGTGCTGTAGATTTTCCATTTGCCTGTCTTCCTCTTCGTAAAATATCTCAGATTTACCAAATTCAGTGCTCCCAAATTCTGCAGGATGACTGGAAGCGGAGGGAAGGACCTGAGAAAGGTGACAGCTTCTTGAAATACATGTTAGATGAGGCAGGACATCTGAGTTTGAATTTGACAATTCTTTTAACTTCATTTTTTGAAATTCTGTGAATACTAAAAGTACTCAAGCAACTGCAGGGTTTAAGTTAACAATGCTTATGGTGCAAATTATGGGAACTTAGAAAAGATACTCATAAAGCAATTCTGCCTAGAAAAGGTCAGAGCAGCCTGGCAGCAACTGTTTGTGTACCTGCAACAAAAGGCAAAGTACTTTTCCCATGTGGGACTCAAGGAGTCTTAAAAAAGTATCTGATGAAAACAAAAAGAAAAAAGATGGATAAATATCTGCCACCACACTGATAGGTCACCGCACTTTCTCCAAGGGAAGATTTGCAGATCGCTCTGTTCAGAATATTATAGATCATTTGGGGAGGGAGGTCTCACACATATAGACTGGTGATGTGGAAAAAACATCCTAAAGGCTTCTTTCTAGCTTGCATGGCCAGGTAGCACTGGGCAGATGTAAGCTGAAACAGATACTGCTGCTAGGTTGAGAATGCTGCACTTGACATGTGCATTCAAATGCTTGTCTAAGGAAGACATAAGCAGAACTTCTGGCTGTACCAGCATGGCTAAACAGTTGCATAGAGTTTGGAAAAGCTGCATGTGACCACATTGGCTTCTTTATCAATGTGAAAGCTATTTGACATAAACACACATTACACCTTTCTAAGCCACATGCCATTTCATTAGCTAGGCTCAGAAAAAATACCAGTGTAGAGTTATCTTAATCTCTTGTAAAATTAGCTACTGTGCTGTCTGCAGTAGGGACCACAAGCTGAGTTCCAAATCTGTCCAAGAGTATTTTCTGCTTTGCAGATGGCAGTACTGTGGAGTCATTTTCTTGGCACAAAACATGTTGTGTATTTTGAATATAATTTCAGCATGCAAATGTATCCAGTAAAAAATTACCAATATACATTTTCTGAGGCTGACCTATTCTCCTTTAAAGTGACTTGACATCTTTCTGAGACAGAAAAAAAAAAGGATATTTTACACTGGTATTTTGTTCCATTCAAAAGGCTAATGCCCTGATATTTTTCATAACTTTAGTCATATTTTACTCTGTTATATAAAGTAGCCCACTCAGGAAGCTCAAATCTGTTCCTCTATGAAACACCATCACATGAAAATACCCTCCTTTCTTGTGGTTTCAAATATATTTTTTGGCTGTGATGCTAGGTTTTGTTGTTGCTGGTTCTAATTAACAAGATTTAATTGATTAAAAGACAGAATTCTGTGTCATATTTCAGGGAAATGACAGGCACACAAATTGCACAGATTTTCTCAAGGTATTTGGAAGAAGTATAGCTGTCTCCAATATTGAGATAGGAAACTGTGACTAGTTTTTTATTCTGAAATGTTCCGTATGACAGTACTGACAACCTACCAAAATTCTCTCGTTAGTATTTTCTACTATTCTACAGCTCTCAAGTTTATCTTTGCCACCCCAAAGTGTAGGACTTCACAGGTTAAAAATACAGACACCAAAAGACTGACTTTTTGAATGAAAGTATATGTCTTCAAGAATTGTACAGAAGGCTTCTAGCTAATTTTTCACAGTAGTATATCCTTGGCATTTTTTATTAATAATTTATAAATCATTACCAAGTGTTGTGCCAGTATTTGCTGACAAGAAGCAAAGTCTATACAAAATATAAAAATAAATAGTTTCTGAAAATAAAAAAAAATGGAGACCAAAAATACATTTTTAGAAATCCATTTAATACTTGAAATATTCTTGTTCATTTGCAAAACAGGTAACATGAGTGTCTGCTGTCTTGAATAGCACAGGGAACATTCACAGGCTCTGAAGACTGAACCAGTATATTACCTTTTACAGAAGTTTAAACATCAACTGACCAATCAACCATGTCTGGAATATATAAAGCTGGAGAAGTAGCTAAGGAAAACAGAACAGAGTATGGATAGGAAGGGGAAGCTGTGTGGCATGGAAATGTGCCTATTGCCACGAATTCAGACTACTGTGCAAGCCACACCCTGGCAGGGGAGCCCCCGAGGAAGTGGCGCAAAGACCAAGCAATGACATTTGTCACACTAGCCTGACCAAAGTGAAGCCCATCCTGACAGCACAAATGATGGAACGCCTGGAAGAAAAGCTTTCTGGAATAAGGCAATGTTGGTAGATATGGCACGTAAGCTGTTGTCATTCGTATGGTGAGGAGACGACAGGTACTTTCCTTCCCTCAGCACCTCATTATGTTTCTTGAAATGGAGTTTCTTCACACGTAGAAAACCTACAAGCAGAAAATGAAATTAAGCTGGCCAACTTCGTTTTAGGTTTATTGAATAAACTATACAGAAAACGGCTTGGCTTTGGCAACTGGAACAGAGTATACCACATGCTACTAGACATGCAATATGCAATCTATTCAATGGTTGTCATTCTTATACTCCTCCACAAAAGAGGAAACCTCTTAAAATATTGATTGCAGCTTTTATAAAGTGGGGGTATAGAAAACCTTGGTGTTGAATACATGCCTACAAAAGTTTTTTTTTATGCAGAAACCTCCACTTGTCACGAACAAGGTCAATCACACACAGAAGAAAATAAAAGTACTTGGAGGTTTGGATCTGTTAGGTAGCTCAGTCCTTTAACTTCTTATGTGACCTTCAGACTTTTTTTCCATGCAGCCTGCTCTCTAGCTTTTTATCCTAGTAGTAGTGAGGGAGATGGAGAGAGAGAAATGAACACTCTCTTCTGTTGCTAAATGAGGGTCATAGTAACCTCAAAACTGGATCCAGTCTCAGGTCATTTACTATAGTATCTTCTCTCTCAAAGAGTAGCCCATAGCAGGTATTTCAAAAGAAGGCATAGGAAGCCTTTACAACAATAAAATGCAAAACTTTGGTCTAATGAATGTATTTTTGCTAATCCCTAATTAGCTTCACGTGCAAAGCAGGACTTTGGAGATAGGTATCTTACAAAACTCCTTTTCATTAGAGAATTAAAATTCTACCACTGTTCTTTTGAATAACCCCATTTTGTAAATATACAAGCTGTATTTGCTGAAAAGGATCATCCAGTGGTGGACTCACTGATGCAACTGGACATGTCATACAAAAGACACTCATATTTCCTATACTATCATTTCTCTCTGTAATCAAGCTGCTAGGTGCTGCTGGCAGAAGAACTTGAAAGTGCCTCTGTTTCCAAGGTGCTAGGCAGTTGTTACCTTTGAATTGTAATTTGCATTTAAAAGATGTTAACTTCTGCTTCTACAGTACCATGTGAAGTCACCAGCTTTCTGAAAAAACAGAGTACAGCTACACCCATAGCTGCCTCCCTGATCATTTGGATTTCAACTCTCCACCTTCCCAATCCCCTACAAGGCTCTTTCTCTCCCTTCTCGTGAAGGCAAGTGGAATGTGAGAGCTCAATTAATTACTCACTCAGGTTTTGCATTCCATACATTAGTTGAACTAATCCAGATACTAGCTAACATTTTCTCCACTGATACCACACTGAAAATGAAAGGTTTCAACACTAAGCACACAAAATCCTATTTATTCTAACCCATTCCTGTGCTAATGGCAGTTAAATTAGCAAATGGGAATTATTCTGTCAGTATCAGGCACTATAGCTGTCATTACCTCATTTAGAGGTGTACCATATGCATTATAAGGATGTCCCCATCCACTTCTGAGAGTCCTGCATCCTAGTTAACTAAGCAGTAGCCTTTTGCTTCCCAGAGGTTTGGTCCTGAAGTAACTGTGTACAAGGAAAGAGGATTCTCGTTCACACGGCTTCCAGCACCCAACTGTGGATCCAGGCTGCAGTGCAACTATGTATGTTCTGCCACTCCCTAAGCACCACCCCACATCCAGAGTCCATGCAGCTGAAAGCAAGGGTGAACCATACTCACTTTCCAAGCAAGAGAGCATGTTAGGGAGACTGAATGAAGAATTCACTGCAGATTACACGCTACCTACCCACCCTCAAAAATCACAAACATTCTTCCTTTTCCATGTCTTCCATCCTTTTTTTCAGAGATCCTTAGTGAATCTCTGCAAAGAATAGAGATAGGTTGAATGAAACACTACATGAACTGAACTTCATTCATAATGTTTAGCATTGGACTCAAACCCAGCTCTAAAATCTGCACTTCTGCCACCTCCCCTCCAGAAGCTTGGGATACTGGCATAAAAGCTCAGGCCTCAGATTTGGAGAGGAATCTCATTCAAGTTGTTCAGCTTAAAAGAGTTCATGGGGAGGACTGGGCTCAGAGTTTGGTCAGGTCCACTGATAATATGAAGTGTCTCAGTCCTCCGATTTACTTCTTATTAGCACATCATGCAATATAATGTCTTACTCAGCACAGGGAGGTGTCACCTTCTGAAACTGCATGCAGTAAACTGCATTCAATTAAATAACAGCAAACATGCAGACTTGTAATCCAGACCATTGCAGTGTGACAAACAGTGCATGCAACATTATTCTAATTCAAACCAGTGCATAACTACTCACAACACAGCAGTGAAATCACATTATACTAGAACAGATCTAATAATAAGCATACAAACATATTATTACATGAACTGCAAGCACTGCATGTGTTGCAAAAGAATTTTACCTGATTTTGTTTGTTTGTCTGTTTACACACAGCCTGAGGGCATAAAGGGCCTGGACACAAGCTTAAGAGTGGCCCCTTTCTGTGACGATGATGGTAGGTTTCAGATGAACTTAGGACCACTTGCCACCTGATGTTAGCTCAGTAGTCTTGCCTTCCAGTCCTCCTGTTCCTCCACTATGTTGAAAATGAAATGCTTCTGTTTGTCTTCCTGCCCAAGAAAGTCATCTTGACTTCACATGTGTTACAAGAATTATCACTGGATAATTAATGATGCAACATGTAGATTCAGCTGGCTTTTATTTATCATTATACATAACTGCTTACCCTTGTGTGCACATCCATTTATTTGCTTAAGAACTCACATGACATTATCCTCATTATAGAAAAGAATTAATACAATACAACTGATTAATACTACTTTAGTTCTCCTATTTCTCCTGTAGTAAAAGAATCTTGAGACCTCAAATGTGTAGTGATAAAGGGAAAAATCTGTTATAAATCATACATAGCTGTTAACTCAGATCCAAAATTAGGACAACACTTTTTGTCAGGCACCACCAAAGTTGCTAAGATCCAATGAAAAGTATGAGAAGTGAAAGTGCTTGCTCATTGCTTTCACACTGGGATAAATGTATTGCTTCAGGTTTTAACATTTTTATTAAAAAAAAAAAAAAACAAACAACAAACCCACAAAAAACCAAAACCAACAACCAACCAAAACTCAACAACCAAACCCAACCAACCACACAATCCCCCTGGAAACAAACAAACAAACAAAATCACAGGCCAGGTACAGCCATATTAGATGGTACAGACTGATTTTTCACATGACTACGTCAAGAAAAGAGCACTGACCAAACTGTATAGACTGGGGCTTCAATCTGGTTCCTGGAGTTTAAGTCACAGTTTTGTCAGACTAATCCATCCAGAACACTGGAACAGGCTGCCCAGGGAGGTTGTGGAGTCTCCTTCTCTGGAGACATTCAAAACCCACCTGGACACGTTCCTGTGTAACCTTATCTAGGTGTTCCTGCTCCGGCAGGGGGATTGGACTAGATGATCTTTTGAGGTCCCTTCCAATCTCTAACATACTGTGATATTGTGATACTGTGATACACACTGGTGTATATGTGTGTATACACATATACACATATGTGTGTGTATATGTGTATGTGTTTAGGTGTATAAAGCATATGCATACTAGTGTATATGCTTTCCTAATGTATTAATCCTAACAGCTGTGATTTTCAAAGTCATTCAAAATACTTGGACAACCTTTTCCCAGTAACTTTTTTAAAATGGGTGTCTAATTCACGAGATAACTGGAAATTTGAGCCTAATTTTTAAGTCATTTCTAAATGTTGACCCAGCAATGTAAGTGCTCTTTACAAGCAGTAATTCATTTAATCAGGGAGTTGTCTGTTACAGTGATAATGGCTTCTCCAAAATAATGCCCCTCCCATGACTGAGCCATGATTGATTTTCTTTTAGGAACTGGTGCTTTTCATCTTTGGGGTTTTTTTTTCTTCCTCTGTGCTAGCAGAGACATAAAGTGACATATGCGATAAGCAGAAAACATACAAAAGGGAAAAGGAAATTAGGATTCCTAATTGCTGACTTCCTATGTTTGAGGTCTGTAACATGGAGGAAAAGCAAGGGTAAAAAAGCAAGAGGGACAGGGATGTGATGCAGTACTAGAAAGGAAGTGGTTTGTACATGTCAAGCAGAATGCATGCTTATTAGGAAGAGATATATTCAGGCTTCCGCACTAAATCAGGTAACTTGGCTCATCTTTTCCATTCTTTAATCACGCTTCATAAATACTGCATAATACAAGAAGTCATAATGGCACAAGCCAGATCACTTTCTTCTGACTGGTTTTGCAAGGTCTTGGAAAAAGTAATAGAATAAACAGGTGTGACACATGCAGTAGGACCAATTTCTAAAGTTATGGGCCAGGAAAGGACCAGAGCTGCCTTACATCTGTTTCTCCAGTTACAGTAAAGAGCACAGAGAAGTGTACACAGCCTCATACACAGACAAGCTTCTATGGCAGCTACAGATCTAGGCTCCTCAGCTGGAGTGGTACCAGCTAACATTACTAGAGCTACAGACCCAAGCCTCAGACAGATTCCATCATGAGCTGTCAAGTTACACGGGCAGTTTTCTTACTGGTAGCAGCCTGCAGAGAAATCATCAATGGACATACCTATATATAAATGTATGACACAGGAGATATAAATGTAACATTCAGATGCTTTTATTTTTAATCACATGACTGCATAGATCATTTGGTGCCAGATGTTAGGGAACTGGTGCCTGTAATTTCAGAACATCAGCCTTGTTAATTCAGTATATACCTTGAGGCCCAAGTTATGTTTCTTAATGCACATGAGCAAGTTAATCAGCAAGTGTGAATTTTAATAATTCCTTCATAATATTTTCTTAGTAAAGCATAGGTTTATGTGTGAAATGCTACATCACAAAGCATGTGGGTACTTAAAACATTACATGGGCTTTTCTAGAGCCAGATGCATTAATGAAATTTAGATTAAAATGCTAAATCCTGATTCAAAAGCCACCTAAAAACTCCTACTTTTATAAGAAGTTTTAGATTAGGAACTACACAATCAGAATTATGAGACTTTAATGTTTTATGATAAACAGAAAATTGCAAATGTAAAATAACAACCAAAACAGGAAGATACGGCTTGAAGAAATACCCTGTGCTCTAGATGTGGTCAGAGGAAGATGAGCCAAGAAAATACCCAGCATGTAGTCAAATATGTTATAACTTCAACAGAGAAAGAGACAATTCCAAGTCTGTTTCACAGTAAAAGCCAAGAATAATCTTTATATTGAAAGAACTGTAAGACAAAGATACTTTGTGCAGATCATACTGCTTTAAATCAGCAAATATGCTTAAGTATTAATGGCATATTTGTGCCTTTAAGCTAGATAATAAAAAAGTGCAACACTATTCCAATGAAAATATGTAGTGAAACAGACTGTGCAGAAAAATAAAGCAGAGTTTAGTTCACCTTCAGGTATACAATACCAAAACAGTAACTACCACAAATGTTTCATAAGCCAGTATCATTTAACTTCCAGCAGTAAACACAAATGTACCAGCTCCATTGAAACTACAAGTCTTCTTAGACATGAAATTATTTTAAAAGGTCACTGCTGCAAATACCACAGAAATGTACATGATGAGTTTTACAAAAGTACAGTAGGAAAATGCCTCAATTGCCAGAGGCAATTTTGAAAACCAGAATTTTGTAATTCACCTTTCCCTGTGCTTTTATGCCCCTCATCAATGCAGTACCTTGACAAATTAATGATTAACACTGTGTGAAGACAAGTTCAAAGCTGCTATATGCAAGTGTAACTCAAAGTCAATACATACAGACTGTACAATTGGCCTCCTAGCCTAAAAATTAGTCATTTTTTCTCATTTAACGAAAGAAATATTTAGCTCTCTATGGTATGATAAATGGTTTATGATAGACTATCAGCAACTTTAACATGTCACAAAGAGGTGAAATTCGAGCAATACATCCAGTTGTAACACTTTATATGTGTTCCTTTGGAAAAGATTACTTCATTATTTTGATGCTAGAAGTTGAAAACATGGGGTCCAGTTGCTAGAAGACATCAGTGCTTCCTCTGAAATCAATGAGTTCTGCTTTTCAAGTGAAAATGCCTGCAAAACACTATTTCCTATAGTTCTCAGAAAAATAGTCTAAAAAAAAAAAAATGATTTATGGACACTTCTTAAGACAGTGCTGTACTTATGTTCTGCTCCTAAAAAATACCATGACAGAATTGATATAAGAATTGAAATAAGAACCTAATACAAGCTTATTGTTCCTTACATACAGGCTGGTAAAGACAACATTCTTTCATTTGTCTCTGGTACCATTGTGGTGATACATTTTCACCTAAACCTTTTGTATAGCCACTCTGTAATCTGACCTCATTTTGTAAGAAATTAGCATAAAAACCTATAAACATGTGGCTGCAAAGCAGCTCCCTAGACTAATTTTGACAAATGCACTGTGGATTTTAAGCCTATTCAAATTCTCACTGGCTTAAATGTCATGAAATTGGTACCCAGATAAGAGCATTATTCAGCATAACATACAGGCAAAAATTTTCTAAAGCAGTTCCTGGCACATGAAATGACCTGGCACATGAATTAAATATCCTTAAAGCCCTGTTGGAGCTACATTAATACCAGGCAAGAGATTTACCTGTAAAGGCAAAATTAAAAAGTGGACTTACTGTATCCAAAAATTTACTAGGTGTTTTGCCACCTTCCTGGCCTTTCCAATTTGGAAACACAATTCAGAACTTACTTTAAAAAACATACTTGTGCAGAACCTTACCTTGCAATCTGTGTTCTAGTATTGAAGTCAAGAGATCTCATTGAGCGTAAGACTTCTATACATCCCAAGTACTGTAAGGAAAAAGAAACAGTTGGAAAACTTATTAAAATTATTCTTGAGTTCTGGAATAAAATGCAGCTAACCATTCAAAGGCATTGTACAATTCTTGTTTTTACATTTGATTTATCCTATGTGTTGGGTAGGTTTTTATGATTATACTCTTGCATGTCACAGATTTGTTCCATTAACATTATATTTCATTTAAATCTCAAGTTTTATTCAACATCATTTTAGGTTTAATCTAATCACTGTAACACACCTAGTTCATGATATGTGATGTGCTTTTTAATTTTCCTCTATCTTAATTGTTCCATTTTAGATATAAAACTAATCAAAGTAAAAAATAATATGAAGGAAAAAGGAAGTGTGGTAAAGCAAATTCATATAGCACTGGTTAGCAGGAAAATCTTATTTAAGAAGGAGAGAACTAAGCCTCATTAGAATGAAAAAGGCAAATTATAGTGGGGAAAGCTGAAAAGAGTACTAGCAATACAAGGAGGATTCCTTAATAACCAGTTCAGGGATAGATAGGATTTAATATTTTCATTAATGGCACAAGCATCAAGATATAGGAAAATGTTAACAAAATATACTAATAGCCCATGCTGTGAGATGGCTTCAACAGGGTCATGCATGAGATGAATGGCATGAAGGTTAGCTAATATTAGGAAAAACCAGACCTATTGACCCAGATTTCTGCCTGCATCTCTATGAAAAAGAGGGAGTACCATTAGAAAATATGTTAAAATATAACAGTATCTGTCACAGGACAGAAAAACTCAGGTGAATCTTCTAGACTTGCTTCCAAAAGTGGCCATAATTTGCATATGCTGAATTATATATGCAGCTACAGCTCTTGTCGCATATCTGGATAGTGGCTTTATACAAACCACCCCATGGCAGTATCTTTGCAAGTAGGTTAAGTGTTCCACCACACACCTGACTTTTGAAAGTCAGGGGAACAAAGATGAGTCTTTACATAATAAGCCTTATAATGCTATTTTAGTATTGTGGGTTTATATCAGCTTTCATATCCATTTTTATATCTATTAACAACATAATGCAATCTATTTAGGTTTGAAACTCGTGTAAAAATTCAAGTGAGGCCACCATTTTGTGTCTGTTTGTGAATCTCATTTATTCTGAAAAAGCAATCTTTTAATTAGAGGATTACTACATCAGTAACTATAATACCTAGAATTTCATCAATCCATTTTCTATAGAAACATGTATGCCACAAACTTCTTACAAGCCAAGGGAGTATATAGTTTGCTTTCACATGTCCATTATTATTTAATTTATTGCTATCAAATGTTATGAAGTCATTACAACACTGAATAAAATAAACTAGAATATCAAGTGACTTATATTAATTAATTTGTTCAAACTTGGATTATAACAGCTCAGTTTCGGAGAAGGGTTGTTTCAAGATCCATTTCCTAGATTTTTTTAGAAATTTTCTGCAATATTATGTTTTTTGTAAAGCTTGTAATATTCTCAGAAAATATCTTGTCTATAGAGACCCTGGCACATGGAACATTCAATCTAAGGATCATACTCTCAAACTGTTTAGATCCTCTACCAGTGTAAAATTAAGTAGCCCTTGTATTTTATTAGAAATAGATTCCTTTTTTACATACACTTCAGCCTGACTGCTTAAAACATCCAGAACAACATTTTCATGCTCTGATGCAGGAAGTCAGGCCATTAACTCTATTTTTAAGTATCTCAGAGGGCTATTCGATTTGCTTAGAGATTAAGTTCGTTAAACATCAATTGAGATAATCAGCTAAAGTCAGTTAACTTATACCAATATACAGCAATGAAGGATGTTTTCCTGTACTCTTTTTGTATGATTTTGTTTTCATTTCAGGATGTTTTTATAGATAAATTTTACTAAGTATTTATTTCATATGAGGCACTTCTGTAATTAAATATGCTCTAACTGGTATAACTATTCAAAGGCATCCCTGAGTTTTTGTTATTGAAGTACTTGCTTTTCATTATTTCATCAGCCTGTTCATTTAGACCACTCAGTACTGAAGTACTCTTGGACTGCATTTGTTCCTTCACTTAGCTGTATTTGCCACAAGTCTTTTAAAGTGAAATAATTGTACAAGTTTGAAAATCAGGTCCGACATTTTAGAAGCAAACTCTGGAAGGTAGATTAACAATTACATGCAGGCGTGCAAATAAATACACATACACATGTGGACACAAGTCACCATCAAAATAAACACACAAAATAATTAGACAAATATCCATAACATACTTAGAATGCGTGCATTTAGACTCCTTTGTCTCTTACTACCTGATCTACATTAACAAAAGTAGAGACAAAACCAGACTGAAGGGAGGTCAGATGAAAAAAAATTACCCTGTACTTGGTTTATGTATAGCACAAAGACAGCTCAACACAACATAGTAAGGCTTGCAGTATTCCTGACTGACCAAGGCAAAGATGGCAACTGATTTTCTGGGATAAAAGATGTGAACACTTAATCACCACAGTTTTCAAGTAACGAAATTACTGTAAAAACTGACATTCAAAAGGTCCAAAGGCCAACTACAGGGACATGTAACTCACCTACTGCTATGCTTCAATTACTCCCCAAGACCAACATTGCTGTCTAAAAATATCCATTTGAAGTACATCCTGACAAGGATCCACAGAAAGGAGACATACAACCAAGATAGCAAGTAAATAAATTATTCATTTATTTCAACAAATAAATATCCTGAATTAAAAAAAGCTATCTTTTGCTTTACGCATTTGATGAAACATTTAAAATATAGTTATAAAACAGTCTACTTCTAAAAAAGGTTCTCTTCACCCAGCACTTAATGTTTATTCTAGTCAATCAGATACTGTGCACTGTGATATTTATGAGCTCCCACCAGTATCCTCCCTCTCATTGCTAAGGAAATAAATACACCGAGATGCAGTCCACCTTGAAGTAGGAAGATTTGGAGCTACCAGTTCCAAGCTTTCTCAGATAAGATTCAGCCTTCTATCTACCTTCTGATACTTGAATGAATTTCCAGCTTGTATACCTTCACTGAATGGTACTTCGTCCCAAGGAAAAACATCTTTCATAAGAATGAATACCTTCCCATTCAGAGGTTTTAGAGTCATATCTAGTATTCTGTATGCTAAAGCAACTTGCACACAGATACGTAAATCTAAAAGCAGAGTGCCACATACTCCTGGGACCATACCTCTTTCACTGCATGAAGTTCCAACATCTTTACAATTTTTCTAGGTAAGAGATGGCCATATATATCCTGGGTTTCTGGTTTGTTCATAGGTGAAGATTTTTCTCTATATATGCTAAAGTACTAGAGAAGACACATTTCTCTATGACTCCATTACAAAATTCTTGTTTAACAACTAAAATCTTTTGCAGTACCCCATGTAAGAAAGGGTGTTGAGTTCCCTTAACATTTGTCAGAAACAGACAGTTCAATACGAGCGCTGAATGCATGCATTCATGTGCTTGGAGTGAAAAGGGTAGTCACTGTCAGAGACGCCTTCTGCTCCATGAAATCGAACAACCTCATTCAGTGCTTCCTAGCAAGCTCTTGAAAACAATCTTCCACTTTTTGATTCAGAAGCTAGTAGTAATAACAGCAATAAGTATTTTTATAAAAACAGACCAAGATGTTGCCACATACAGCACTGCAACAGTACAACCTATGTGCGACAAATGCTTAGACACTTAAAGGCATATGCACATCTAATAGCAGAAGAATGTCTACCCTGAGAATGGGTAGCACGAAGATCTGCCCATTACCTACTCTCAAAAAAAAAGGACTCACTCCTAATCTCTGAGTCTGAACTGCTGGAGTATCATTAGCTCACCAAAACTGCATGAGTATTCTTAGTAAATTAAGACTGGTTTTAATCTGTGTAACTAGATAACTATCATTAAATGTGAGTGGTTCACAACATTTCAGATTGTACCTGCAAATACAGATCCTCGTGCAAGTTATGTAAGAGATAACAGTATTACATCAGCAAAAGACATGCCCTTGCATTGCTAGCCAAAAAATTAGGCAGTGCCTGAAAATATTGATGTATCTGAAATCTGCACTAACATTGCCTGTCTAGTGATAACAGCCTGGGGACTCAAAACATAGATTAGGATTCCCAGGGTTCTGGGTAGTATATGTAGATGCAATGTTTGAAAATAGAAGTCTCTGAAGCATACCATAAGATGCCCTATAATAAAATAATCAATACAGTGCAGGTTTCTCACCAACAGGCTTAGGCTGTGCTTTTACTTGTCAAGTGCAAAAGTGAGCATCTTCTTACTTTCCACATCTGCTCCTCATGTATCTCCAATCACTTTTTTTTGGGGGGGGATTAGTGTTTTTGTCTGGTTTTGTGGGGTTTTTGTTTTGCTCTTTATTCTTGTTAGTCAAAGAGTTAGTCCAGATTTAAAGTATACCATGAAAGTAAATGAGTAGTTTGTATGAATTGACTAGTGCTAGTTAATTCCAGTTGAGGACTTCCTTATTTAAAAATAAGATATTCTATTTCAAATTCTGATTATATTGCTTCTATGGCAAGATGCATTTACTTATGCATCAAAATGACAGTTACTTCTAATTTCAGATATCACCACTTACAGCCAAAGGGGCTTGTGAAATGAGCACTGAGAGTTCCACAATCATAGAATAGTTAGGGTTGGAAAGGACCCCAAGATCATCAAGTTCCAACCCCCCTGCCACGGGCAGGGACACCTCCCACTAAACCATGTCACTCAAGGCCTCGTCCAACCTGGCCTTGAACACTGCCAGGGATGGAGCATTCACAACCTCCCTGGGCAACCTATTCCAATGCCTCACCACCCTAACAGGAAAGAATTTCCGCCTTATATCCAATCTAAACTTCCCCTGTTTAAGTTTTAACCCATTACCCCTTGTCCTATCACTACACTCCTTAATGAAGAGTCCCTCCCCAGCATCCCTATAGGCCCCCTTCAGATACTGGAAGGCTGCTATGAGGTCTCCACGCAGCCTTCTCTTCTCCAGGCTGAACAGACCCAACTGTCTCTGCCTATCTTCATACGGGAGGTGCTCCAGTCCCCTGACCATCCTTGAGGCCCTCCTCTGGACTTGTTCCAACAGTTCCACGTCCTTTTTATGTTGAGGACACCAGAACTGCACACAATACTTGAAGTGAGGTCTCACGAGAGCAGTGTAAAGGGGCAGGATCACCTCCTTTGACCTGCTGGTCACGCTCCAATGTTACGCAATACTTACAACTTACTTTTAAGTTTGCCATCTACCCTAAATTACTTCCTAACAAGAAGGGCATAATACAGAAATCGTAACTGCCCAGGACTTGATTTCAAATCAAGTTTGTCCATATGTAATTGTGGATCTAGTAACGGATTTTTAATATCCATGTTGATGTATGAAAAGAAGAATTAAAAACAAACAAAAAAGCAACCCAGGTAATAGCCAGAGATTGTAGTATTGATAATAGCAAAAATCTTGCAAAATGAGTTTTTCCCTTTAGCAAAGTAATATGAAACAGTAAACCTGAATCCTTTTGCTATCATATTAGATGAATTTCTCACCTTAACTGAATTTTTCAATACTTGCTCTCTAAACTAAAATGGTAAGGAAAAAAAAAAAGGAACAAGGAACTGTAACCAGAAGGTGTACACTTCAATAAAATAAATAAAGTAAAATAACAATAAAAGCCACAATATTTCCTAATTTTTTAAATTGTGCTTTAACTGAACACTTACTACCTTGAGTATCTTACTAATTTGACTGAGACATGTACGACAAATAACTTAGCAAAGCAGCAGGAAAAGATCACAAAAAGAGAAGATAGCTTATCACAACATACATTTGCTTCTTCATCAGGACACCATAGTGTAATCATATGTTTTCTATTAAACTACACAGCATCCTGTAGCAGTAAATATAGTAATTCTGTGAAGATACTGGAATCTTAGAGGCATTACAAACTAATGGAAACACTAAACTTTCATGTTGAGAGAAAAAGTGAAAAAAGTGCATTTTCTCTGAAATACTTCTGGCAATACAAAATCCTTGCCAATTCATAAAATAATCTTCTTATTGAGAATTGCTAGTCTGCTGGGTACTCCACAGTATCTGTCTGCTAAGAGGGGCAATGAGAAGTCATTGACAAAAAGCTGTCTAAAGAAATACAGTAACTATACAGTCCTTGATTATTTAAGACAAACTAGGGACAGAGATATATCTAGAAGTTTAAATATATAATTATCCTTTCAGTTAGCCATAGCAAAATACCTTGCACTACCTTGCACTTTCACAGAAGGCTGTAACGATACTGGCATGTGGCAGGAGGACTCTTCCTTCCACATCTTCAGAATGAAAGGCAGCTGCTTGGCATTTTTGTAGACAAATCTTCTATCCTTACTCATGCAGCCTACAAAAGGAGACATAAAGCCTCCACACCAATAGTTGCGCACCCTTGGAATTTGAGTGCACACCCCTGTAACCAAGCTGGCTCATTGGATTTGTGTGGGAGGCAAAGGAGGTCTGAAGGCATGGCTCTGCATCCAGGCAGTTGTGCGAATGCGGGTTTTAATATGAAACAGTGGCTTCTCATCCTGATAACAACACATGACCCAGACATAGAAAACTGACCTGCCTGAACTCTTCACTGAGATTCTCTCATTAGCAAAACAAAATGAAAAGGAAAGAAGGAAAGGAAAGAAGAAGAAAGTACCAAATAACAGTGGGGATGCACTGCGTGTTACCTACAAACCCAGCAAGCTTCTTCAGGGGTTACTCTTTTAAGCACAGTTACCTTTAACTATGATCATTTGCTAATAATACTTGATCTTTAATAACAGCTTATACTGACTGGTATTTACGCCATTCGTGTAAGTTTGTATAAAATTTTGTTTCCAATAGTAATTACAGAAAATATGATGTGTTACAGCAGCTTGAAAAGCATAAATCCTCTCACCAGTTACCAGAAAGACTTTCAGACCTTCTCAAAACAAGTAAATGGTTCATTTAGTCAGGCTAAATGCCAAGGCAGTCTATGTTTTGCATTCACATTGAATTAAAAGATTGCTTTAGAGGGAGGTGTACTCTGAAGGCATCTCTACACACCAAAGACTAAAGCTGCCATGCATGTTCCACAAGTAAAGCGGGCAAGAAGTAGGGTACGAGCTGAGTAGTTACGAGGACTGAAGACTGGGAAGCTCCTAAAGCTGAATTTACACTTGAAATCTTTCAGATATAGAGGTATTTCATTCATTCTGAAAAAGTATTTACAAAGGGATTTTATACATATGATGCTTGTCACTGACCTAAGGAGGTGACTCAGCTACCCCACTTGGGACATAGATCTTGATGCAAGCTTGGTAAATACTTTTGGACTCAACAGTCAGCTTGCCCACTGAACCACAGAAACAAGCAGCCAAACTACAACAAAAGTAGCAGTATAGCGAGGTACTTCTCTGTATCGCTAAAGAGTCAGCGTTTTCTGCAGACCTGCACTCTAATATATAATAAACCCTTTCCCTTTCCATTCCTTTTTTCCTTCCTTTTTCACAGAAGCAGCAGCTTTTGTCAAAAAATGGCTGCCATCGACTGAGCAAATAGCATCATGGTAGGAACGACTTACATGCACACAACCATTCAGATTTATGCCAGTGTAACCAGATATTTTAAGCAGAAGTATGGAACAGAAGATTAGTTCTGTGACATTTCTAATGTAGGGTGAGTTATAATATTAGAAAAAGCTGTGGGCAGAAGCAAGACTGGATATTCAGAGAGATAAATTTGTAGGAGCAGTAGTCACAGAGCTTTAAGTCAGCTGCTAGAGATTTCAGTTTCTCTGGTAGTTTGAGATATAAATATTTGCTTTTAAATGCTCTGCTTCGCTATCAAGTTAACATGAGTATTCTCCTAGCCATGCCACAGTCTCCTGCCATTTCCTTCCCTTGGGGCAAGATACATCTTCAGGACTACTTGAAGACGCAGATCTTCAAGGATACCTGATGACTGTGCTCTACCAGCATATGCTGAAAGACCTGCTCTGTAACTCATCCCTGTGCTTCCCCAGTACCTGCACAAGGGCACACCTGCTTGGGGAAACAGCAAACCTGCATAAAAGAAACACCAGCAGCTTTGCTCTGAATGAGGAAAAGGCCCTATATTTAGACACTGTCAGAACCCAACACCAAAAATGTGTCATAAACATATGCTGCTGTGAAAAACAGAAATGCA